AAGTGAGCGATTCTTTTATTCTACTCGTTCTCAATTTCATCAGCCATTCAATAAATAAAGGTACAACAACTTCTACACAGAGTACAACAAGCAGTAAGTTCTATTCTATCTTATTAATATTTTTATTTAATAAACGGACACGCGTTCGTCTTTAGCGACATATACTTCAAGTGAGTTTGCCTTCCGATTGAATTATTTATCTCAATACCAATTTGTCAAGGTACAACAACGGCAACCACATCTTCGACAACAGGTAAATTCTATCGACTTCTCTGTACTTATAATTATCATTTTGTTTCTTTTAAGTTACAACAACGACTGGTAAGTGTTCATCCTTGTTTCTTTGCAAACAGATTGAATCGAGTTTTGTTTGATAAATATCAGCATTCAATTGTGCTTCAACAATCACTTCGACTTTGGGCTCGTATTCAAAAACTGATTGTCCAGATGGTCGTTGGCATACATTTTCCAAAAGTTTTGCTTCATCATACACCGGCCTACGCACACTCGTTTTTGCCTTCACCAATATTAGAAGTGCAGTTATGTATCTAACGAATATCAAAGTGTACGATGCTAGTAATACTCAACTGATAAGCAATGGAGATTTTTCTTCCTCGTCCGGTGTTCTACCAACAAATTGGCTCAAATGTTCAGACAATGGACAAGTAGATTCGACATGCACTCGTAACACATCCATTTCATGTTATACGATTTCGACAGCTGGTGGGACGATATCACAATCATTTGCAGTTGTATCCGGTACGAATTATACAATTAGATTTGATCTTTATCATGATGCTACAAGTGGTAATAGTGATCAAATCGATTTAGACATTTCTGCTGTTTGAATCAGATTTTATTTGAATAGAAAGCAAAAAAACGAACAATCTTTTCAGTATCCTCAACCAAGATTAACCAACTGCTGAACAACGTTAGCAATTGCGTTATAAAGTTGAATGTTTGAACCAGTATATTGTTGAATTTGTGCTAATAGTTGACTTCCGGCACTGCTGGCATCAAGTTGACCACTGATGACCTGTTGAGCAAGGCTAAGAACCGAGTTTTCAAGGGATTTCAATTGAGCAGGTGAAAAAGCAGCGATAGCTTGGTTAGCCAAAGTGGCTAATGAAGCGGCTATGTTCTAAAGAGATTAAAATAGTGACTATCAGAAAGTATTGAAATCATTGATCTTACGGCGTATTGTGGATGCTGAACAATCAGAGATTCTAAATCACTAATTTGTAAGTTTCGACTCAAAGCTGGACGAGTTAAACCGAAGCCACCAACATTAAGCAATTGTTGAACAATGCTGGCAATCGAGTTGAAAAGTTGAGTGTTTGAACCGAAATATTGTTGAAGTTCTCCCAATAATTGATTAGCAGCGGCATTGGCATCGACGTTACCATTGAGAACATTTTGAGCAAGATTCAAGACTGTGCCGCCAATTGATTGTAATTGAGATTGCGATAAAGCAGAGCTGACTTGATCAGCGATGTTAGTAATTTGATTGATTAAACTCTAAGATGAATAACATTATTCGATCAGCGATGAAGTTTCTCCTAAGCTTACGGAAAGTTGTGGAAATTGACTGAGGAGACCTTGTAAATCACTTGGTTTAAATTGATTGGCTAACGTTAGAAGATCAGCCGATGATGGAAAAGCAATACGAGCTTGACCGTTGAAGTTACCCGTAAGCGTTTGAGCAATACTGACGACTTGTTGAAGAAATGATTGAATTTCGTCGAATAATTGAGAATTTGAACCAAGATATGCTTGAATTGCTCCTAATAATTGATTAGCAGCAGCATCAGCACTAAGTCTACCATGGAGAACTTTATCAGCAAGGTCACTAACTAAATTTCCAAGTGAGTTTAATTGATTTTCAGAGAAAGCACTGATAGCTTGGCTTGCAAGACTGGTAGCTTGGTTGATCAAACTCTAAATTAAACAGTAAAAAAAACATCGACTCCTTCGTCACTAAACTTACAGCATATTGCGGATATTGAGCAGCGAGAGCTTGTAGATCGTTGATGTTGTTGAAAAGTGGTTTGCTTTGGACGAAAGCAATGCCGATCAGGAGAAAAGCGAATCCGAATGAAAGACGCATTCTGAAAGTTGATTAAAAAAAGAATGAAAATTTTGCTTTGTTTTATACTATCGTTTAAAATCAAAGAGATTAAATGTGTCACACGTGATTGTTTCGAATTAAATCCCGTTTTAACTCCTTTGAATAGACTATGAAATTAAAAAGAAAAACGAAAAATATATCGTTATTAAGTTTTAATTGAGGATCTTATCAAGAACAAATTGAAGGTCACTTCGTATTACATCGGGATTGACACGTATCTTGTCGTGTTAGTTTTAGCTGTGTAAGAATGAAGGCAGCATTTCTTTAGATAATCAATTTTGCAATATTTACTCGAGTATGTCTCATTTAATCTTCGAAAAGCATTCAAATTTGCCTACAAAATTTCGCATGATTCACGCTTTCATTATCAGAAGGAATTAGGGCGAGTGATACTTTTCAAAGAACGAAATTATTACATCGGTATTTAACAGTTTTTCTGCAAAATTTCGGCAGATAAGGAAACAAACATTGCTGATATGATATTCATTAGCAGCATTCACTGTATACTGGATATCAGTGAACAAGTTCTAATTGATCGTGCAGATCTAGCCCTATGAGATCTCGTTTAGGTGCATGATAACTATCAATATAAATTAATATACTTTAAGAGGAAAGCGTGCCGACAGGATGAATAGAACGATCGGTCAGCATCCGATGATCAGACAACATTCAGGTCCTGGCCGATAGTAGCAGTTCATCATCACATCTCTTTCGACTCTATGCGTCGTCTCTGGTATATAAGCGTGTGCTTTTTCAGCTTCTTGTTGTTGATCAACAATGGGTATATACTGCAGTAGTAACGAAAGCTCTTCATTGATATTTCGTTACAAGTAGTAATTGAATCGATTCACTTTTTCTCTTGTTAGTGTTGAGTACCATATTTCTCTGCTTTCGATAGAATGTAAAAATATTCACAGAAGATTTACGGTTTACCAAATGGAATATGCGCATAACCAATACAGTTCTCTCGAATTACAGAGCTGAGTTAATGCATTTGAGACGAAAGGCCGGTGAAACTGTTGATTTCTCTTCCTTTTTTCTCATAAGCAACACGAGGTTTGGATCATACGGTTTAAGGGTGTAAGTAGCTTCATCGAGCGAAAGTGTCTTCTCAGTGCTTTCACTGTAGTTGCATCATGTTTATAAGTGCGATGTTGCTTATGCTCATGATACAACCTATATCATTTATAGCGATAAAACTGGCACGTGGATCAGTACCAACTGTTTTCTGATTAGCGAACATGATGCTATCTTCGTTCCATGATGACGTTGAACGAAGCTTTGGTTGATTACTGGAAAGAATTACATTCCTCTCATCGGTTTGTTGTAATAGAATTTTCCAATGCTTATACACTATGCTTTATTGAGTGACATGAACAAAATCAGAAAAAGGATGAGATGGTACTTAATAGCGAAGGATTTGATGGTAAAGATTGAAATGATGCAGATTATACTTCGTCTTTTTGACGTTGTTGATTAGTGAGAGGAAATATTTTGCATAAAACGGTGTGTACACGTACGTTTCGAATGAAACACTAGATGTGCACGATAAAAGAATGCTAGCACATTGTTTACTTAGATTTATTTAATGTATACATAATTACCGTTCGAGGTCATTTTTGCGACAAAATCTGGATAAAGCAATGCCACTGACAGGTTTGGTCTATTGTTCAGTGCTTGATCGAGCTATTTTAATAGAAATTTAATTAGAAATACATTTCTCATAGATGCAAACTTATTAAGAAAAACGAATAGAGTTTGTATTCAGTGTTCAAATCTAAGATGACTCAAAGTTTTGAATGGGGAGGAAAATCAGCCAACCCATTGGACAGATTGTCCAGCTGTTAGATGAACACTTCCTGGATAGACTACGTTATAAACTGCAAGGGTATTCAATGATAAATTTCCAATTGATAATGACAATGTAAATAACCTGTTGTCATTTGATGATGCAATAACAGACAATGATCCGAATATGTTTGGAATCAGAACTGGAAGTGTATAAGGTACGGATAATGCCGGTGAAAAAGTCAATATTCCATTGGATAGATCCACATATTGCCCGGATAAAGCAAACGGTAAATGCCAAAACACCATATGAAAACCATAATGTGATGTAATCCAAGGTTTGCCTCCCACACCATAACCATCCGCTGCATAGATTCCATGAGTATTCCATTGATCGTTCAATACTTGTCGAACAAGATTTAAACCTTTTTGCGATTGCACTAATGCACTCTGTGGTTCAATATTAAACCATAGATTCAATACTGACCAATCTTGCGAAGCACCCATCCATATTGAGTTATCTTGTGGATTCGTTAACGGTTCTCGGCCTGTTAACATTCGCAATCCGTACGTCGTATCAGCTAATCGAACTTCACTTTCCAAATGTTTCAGCATGATCGATACATTGTAGAGACTACCCAACCCGTACGTATATGCTAAAACTTGCCCGTACAACGCATCGGTGAATATCGCTTTCTCACCATGTCCACCCGTGTATGCTAAGAAATAACCCGTGTCTAAACTATCGTTGTACCATAATAATTTGTCAATTTGTTTTCCTGCCACGATGTACGCTTCATAACATTGATTATACGTTTTTGTATCACGCATAATTTTCGATAATTCCATACATGCGCGCATCGCTGCTAAGTGCATAAACGAATTAAATGTTGTCGTTGGATATTGACTCAAATATGGTATATCATAAGTACACTCAAGATTTTCCGGTAACCCAATATTGGATGAAACACTCAATTGCCATTGTATGCCAGCTGAAACATGTGGATACATATCATTTAAAAATTTCGTATCATTTGTCCATCGATATAATTCCAGAGTTTCCAGAATAAATATCGATGTGACATCACCCATTCGTCGACCACCATGGGTATCATAAGATTCAGTATCTCCAAGACAACCGACAGTGAAGGTCTCTTGAATCATTCCGTCTGGTTGCTGGTATTTTGCCCATTGGTACATTTTGAGTTTTTCTGTTTCGGGAAAATAGAGAATGTAAGGCAAGTGACGTTGATGATCATTGTGTACACTATCAACATCGTTACAATCGAATGCTTCCCATTGCCGCCAATCGCCATTGGAAAAATACATTGCACTACGCATGTGCGACACACTATTGATCAATGAATCGATTAAATAATCGGGCATACTTGAATTCGAATAGATATTATGTAAACTTAAAATATCGTTGGCAATCACTTCCAGTTGTTCCTCATTACCAATAGATTTCGCTACGTCTGTCACATTCGTGAATAGTAAGGAATAGTAATTATCCAATGGCAAATCTAACCAAAAATGATGTGGAAAATACCAAGCGAAGAGAATTGATAAGGTTTGTTGCTCTCCCGGTTGTAGAGTTGTGGAGACAGAAACAGCTCCATGAACGCCAGTAGATTGCTGGATGGGTGTATCATCCGACCATCGGCCATTTTCAGCAAACTTGTTCAATAAATTCTCAATGTTATTATCAACGGTGGCGGATATTGTACGATTCGATGATAAATAAGGCCATAACAAGAATTGGCCATTTGCTGTTGCACTTCCAGGACGATCTAAGACTAGCGGACCTGGTTTATCAAATGACCATTGACCACGTACACCACTGATATGACCAGATAAATATTCATTGTAAGGAACATCGCTATACAATGAACATGTTGGATTATTATTCAGAATTTGCCAATTCCAAGACGCACACGAAGGATTTTGATGACAGAGCACGATACAATCAGTGTAATTAGCCGGAGTTATTTGTTGAATGATGTGATTGGATTGTCGCGTTTGATCGATTTGAGCGGATAATGGTAATGTTGACATAAAATCGATGGAAATCGGGTAAGGATTTGGATTGCGTACATTCAATGAGAAGATAATTGCAGGTGTCAGTGAACGATTCAAATCCGCAACTTTGAATACTGAATAAGCATAAAGGTCGAGAGTGGCTTTCAACGATTCATCGACTAACTCTAATTTACTGACGGGATATGAGCCGTGATATTTGATCGTTTGAATTCCTTTGATACTATGAGTTGGATGTGTACGAATCAATCGAGTATCACTCGCCTTTGTATCTAAATTTGTGATACGAAAAGCTAATAGAGCGTCATTGATAAACCCTAATTTCGCTCCGGTTGCGGGTGATTGATTTTCGATCGTCCATTCGTGAAATGTTCCATCACCACGTAATTCAATTGAGCCTGTGGTAATTCCGCCAATTGGTACTGCTGATCTCAAACCAGAGGGAGGATGTTCAAACGGAAACGTTCGATTCATTATTGCCGAAATGATATTTGGATTACGAACAGATTGCGGAGTGTATGATTTCAAATAACAGCATGGTCTACCTTGTCGACAATCGTTGAAATCGGACGGAGCAGCTGATGCATAGGACCATGAAGTACATGATGCATAACGACAGCATAGGGTGTTACATTCAGATGGATCAGCAGCCGATGGTATGATCGAGAGAAAATCTGCACCTGGTAAATCAGTTTCAGCCAAGATCGGATTTGAATCGCATTGTAACGGTTGATCTGGATTTCGTTTATATAAATAAGGTCGAGAGTATAATTCCATCCACGAGAATCGTTGTCTCGTAACATTTTCAGGTTCGGTGTAGTATGCATATTCATACTGATATTCATAGACATCAGAATTGGATATCCAACCTTCATTGAAGAACTTTACTGAATTCAATAGTTCATAGAGTTTTTGGCAATGAACTATTTGAAGAATAGAAATCGTGAAAAGCAAATATTTCATTCTCCAGCGTCGTTATCAATGTCGAATGTGGTTGTGTGTGAGAGGAAAGTCTTTCGTATCTTTCAACATCTTATCAGTCACACTTTTTCTCACTCTCGCTCTCTCTCTCTTTCTTCTCTCTATGAAAAGAATTTGCGAAACGTCATAATCACACACCCATTTCTTTATTCTGTGCTCGGTCATTAACATATGAGTGGATGGAAATCAAATTCTAATAAAACACTTTTTAATAAGAAAGAAATTGAACGAATGTCCTTTGATATTTCGCATTGAGATCAATCAGTTTTTTTTCATTAAATAGAGACGAATAGGTCGTACACCAGTTATTTTGATTTGATTAGCATCACCGACTTGATCTTTGTCGTTTTGAACTTCTGATTTCCGATAAGCTTGAATGAATTTCTCACGCAACGTATTGAACAATTCTTGATATTTTTGTTCACCCATTTGCTTTCGGTATGTTTGCGCAGGTGATACGGTTTCGAGTGCACTCAGAAATGGTTCAAGTGTTGATTCCGAACGCGATTCGATTGTATACTCTTGAAGTGTTGATTTATATGGAAAAAGTGGGATAAGTGATTGATAATAATTAGTAACTAGAGGTTGTTTTTCGTTCGCATATGGTTTCAAGGTAACCTGATGAAACTCTTGATAAACAGCATCAGCATCGGGATGCTCCAACGAACCAAATGAGTAAGTCCATATAGCTATGACGCCGACATGCGGTTTGAGTACACGTTGAACTTCCTTGAGAAACTTTTCAACATCAAGCCAATGTAATGCTGTTGCAATCGTGATTAGATCAACCGAATTCGATTCGAGAAAAGATAAATCTTCACCTGGACTGCATCGATATTCAACATTGTCTTTTGGTATTGCATGAGCAATTTGATCAGCGCTAACGTCAGTACCAATCACACGTTCACAGAATCTTCGTAAGAATAAGTTTATTTTACAGGATTTATTTATTAAAAATACTTACGAACTGAGATCGACTGTTGCTTGACCACTTCCACATGCTACGTCGACCGCAAGTGGAATTTTCTCATCGGTACTTTTTCCATCAAAATAATAATTTCGAATATGTTCGAATACTTCCTTTGGATAACCAGGTCTATAGAGACGATACTTTGCTGTATGATCTTCACCGACAAAGAGTTGACTCGTCATGACTTTATCTTTATTTAATTATAATAAAATCCATATGAAAATGGTATTCTTGTTAGTAAAATGTTAAAATCCAGTAATACACATGAATTATAGATGGCGTGATTGGATAGAAGGAAAGAAGAGAAGTTGAAAAAAAAACTGTTGTTTCAATGTCATTATGTAGGCAGACCACATTTTCTTCTGCATTCTTTGTTGACGTCGAGAGGATAACCGGGAATACTTGATCTCAAGTTATTGATGAAATCATCAGGTTGACCAAACGCAGGTGATAGAGGACCGTCGGGAAAACGAAACATGTTCAAACCAAGCGTAAGAAGACCGGGATCTTCATTGTTATAAGCGACAATCTGCATAGAAGGAGAACAATCTAAGTTCTGTACGAAATGAATGGCTCCTCGAGGAATTGCCGCAGCATAACCAATACCAATTTGATTGAGAACTACTTGTGCACGATTTTCTTGAATGAAACCTACCAAAAGTGACTTTCCAGTGATACTGTATACACCCTTGGAGCCACGAGGATGAATATGAGGTAGAATAATACCACAGGGTTCTAACATAACCAATGTAAAAGCTATACCAATACCAGCTAAAGCCGGTGTAGTCGAAAGATTGAAGTAACTAACATTTCCTCCAGGCGTCACTATCCAATAATCAGGATTGAGGAGATTTCTCGTGTAGTCCGCTGGAACAAATCGATTTGAACTTTGTAAACCAGTCAGTGGAGTTTGACATGCGCTAGAATCACAAACCGTTGTTGTGTCACAATGCGCAACTGCGACAAAAACAAGCGCGATGATGACACATAGGTGTTGATAGTGCATTTTCGAAGTTTTACAATAGAAGAATGAATCAATATTGGATTAATATATCACCGAAAAAGAAAAGCACTTGTTTACCCTTGAAATAAAAAAAAAACAAGATTGTTTTCAAATATCATCCATACGTAATCATTGTTTTATTAAACAAAAAAGTTTTTCAGTGCAAATATTCGAACAAGATAACAGAACAATAGGCAAAAAAACACTGCTTTTCTTTTCTCGTATAACGAAGCAAATATGACGACGAAAATTATCTGTTTAATTATCAACGTGTAACCAATTACGAATAGAAAAATTATGTAGGTAATCCACATTTCGTTCTGCAAGCTTTGTTGACATCGAGAGGATAAGCAGGAATCGCTCTTTTTAAATTAATGATAAAGTCTTCAGTTTGACCAAAGGCTGCTGATAGAACACTATCTGGAAAGCGAAACATATTCAAACCGAGTGTCAAAAGACCAGGATCTGCATTATTGTAAGCATCGATCTGCACCGATGAAGTGCATCCTAGATTCTGCACAAAATGAATGGCTCCTCTCGGGATCAGAGTGGCATATCCAACTTGAATTTCATTAAGAACAACCTGTGCACGATTTTCTTGAACAAATCCAACCAGAAGTGAAATTCCACTAATCATGTAAATACCTTTCGACCCACGAGGATGTATATGGGGCAAAATAACTCCACATGGTTCTAACATTGCTATCGAAAAAGCGATACCTATATTAGCTAAGGCAGGTGTAGTAGAGAGATTGAAGTAACTAACATTGCCTCCCGGTGTGCGGATCCAATAATCCGAATTGAGAAGATTTCGAATATAATCTGATGAAGTATATCGATTCGAGTTTTGTAATCTAGTAAGTGGAGTATGACATGCGTTCGTCTCACATACGTTTGCTGATTCGTCTGATGAGAAACACTGTTGCGTGATTGACAACGAAGGAGCACCACAAAAACGCAGTTGAACTAGATAAGTATAGCCATTGGTGAAGCTGATTGGTAAAGTAAAAACGGTATAGAGTCTACTGATATGAACACGTGCTTGTTCGATGACTTGATTTTCGCAATTACGGTTGTCATAATCTATGGAATATCTTAATGAGAATTGAACATTTAACAAGTCGCCAGTGATGCTGTCCGTATACAGACCGTTGGCTCTGAATTTTCAGAGAAATTATCAGATTTGTTTACAAAAACATGTTCGACTACCTTTTACGTCGATGAGTTGAACTTACATTTAAAGGAGCAAACTCAGCACCGAGATTAGTCATTCCTTGAAGATGCAATGCTCTACGAAACTAGAAATGTCACAAGAAAATTGGCTGTCTTTTTTGAAAGAAAAAGAGAACGTACAGATCGCGTTAATGCTGTTATTTGACCAATTGTCAGTCGACTCCCGTTGATCATATTACTTCTGTATGCAATGACCAGTGGATTTGTAACTAGTTGAAGACGAAATGGTTTATAAATTATGAAGAGATCAGAAATCGATATTTACTTGTCATGTCGATACTTTTCGTCGATAAATAAACAGGAATAAGCCCTAAAACGATTGTTGCAGCAATCGCAAAAGCAATGACGGACAAACCACAGCAAACTCCCACGCTTGGTAACCATGGAATTCTGGAAGAGAAAAGGTCAAGAGAATATTACTGTGTAAACTTCATTTTTCTCTTACTGTTGACTTTCGTTTCGTTTCGCAATAATAGCCATACGAAATTGTTCTACGAATATATAATAGTGATTTGATAAATCATTATTATATTTTTTGTTATATATATATATATATATATGCAACCTTGATGACATGTAATTATTTTCTTCGCCATTCTTTCGTTTGTACAATGTAATCGAACTGATACTATTTGCACCGAAATAGATATTTATTGTTCAAAATTAAGGATAGTTAAGGGTGAGGGTGTCTTCTGTTCACTCACACTCACCCTTGTTGTTATAATGAACGATGTACTCCGTGTGAAGTTTGCAGTGATATTTCACATTTTCTTGATTGTTTATCATCATGTTGTAGAGAATCGTCAATGTACTATGAGAATGAAGATTATCAAAATAATCATTACTCTAACGAGCAAAGTCAATCAATTCATTTTGTAGTTTATTTCATGTTTAATTTCGAGTGTTCGTTAGCGATAAAAGCAACAAGTCGACAGATATAAACATTCTAAGAAACTAATAATTAAAAGCAACTCGTTGACAAGATCTTCGAAATGAAGTTATTCATACCTGTTCTTTGTTGAAATACTTCCCATTTTTGCAGTCTGTAGCCCGTGTGAAGACAACAGTTTCTACTTTTTCGATTATTGCGAACAGATCTGACGGAAGAGCTATTATCATCCTCGACCGTATTTTCGCTTTTCTGTTGTTTATCCTCTGCTCGTCTGAAAGATTAGATTTTAAAAGCAGTTTATTTGAATGAAAATGAGGAGAGATCACATACTTAAAAGATTTTGAGAGCTTTGGTTTTCTGTGCCATTTAATTTGAAGTGCGATCCGGGGGGAATGAGTTGTTTTACCGTATACGTAAATATATATTTCAAAATAGAAAACGAAATACAATATCTACTTTGTATGAGTCATGTTATACGATGAATTATGCCTTTCATCTGAAATCTTTTGTAAGTTGTACTTGTTGTGTGTTTCTTGAAATGCGAAAACTCAATTACTTTTTGCAGTTTTCGTATTTGAGTCATTGTAATTATTCAATCGTATGATTCAGTTTTTCTCACTTATGAAGTTATTTCTGTATCTGATGGAACAAAAAGAGATAAATGGTGTTGCAAGATGGAAGAATCAGGTATGTTTACATCTTAGAATGAAAATCATCTTTTTCACTGTTTGTAATTCAAGTCATCAGAGAGAACAAATAAACTCTTGAAACTATTCGGCAATCTTCTCTGAGGAAAAATGCGTATTATAACCTTATGGTAAGTATTGCCGTCTTTCTTCAATAGAACACAGGTAGATTATGACATTCAAAAAAAAAATCTTCGAAGAAGGGTATCGAGTGAAAATCGACTCACATTTGAAGAGAAAAATTCAGAAATGTTAGAATATGATCGATGGATCTAATGGAAAGTTGACATCAATCAGAGAGAAATCTCAAATGTGAAACTTGCGTTTCTCAAAACAGAATTTCAGAGAAGAATTTCCGTTTTCGAGATAGATCGTTCGAAGTGCACAAATTGATTGTTTAGTGTATTTAAGATGATTTCAATAAGTTCACGATAAATCTACAAATAAGTACCACGAGAAGGCGTTTATCTTCATTTTAGTGAAAACATATTCAGATAACTCGAAAATGTTTTCAAAAGTCTCCTCAAAAACGTTTCCAAGCAGCGGGTTAAATAGATCTGCAAAACATTGAAATGGTAAAACGTATTGTTTTTTTGTTTATTTGATAGCACTGTGCAGAACTCTTGCACTATGTTCAAGATCAACTTGTTGGAAAACGCATTGAAGAATACGGATCAAGACGACCACTAATTCAGACTTCACTACGCCTTACTGTTCGTCATTTCATCGCTTTTACTAATAATATAAAATTGACAATTAAAAGATCTACTGCTTTGTATTTACTTCACGATTAAGACATAATCCTTACTTGTCACAAAACAAAGAATGAACACTCCACTTCTCAAAGAGATTAATAGACAATTTTCATCACAAGAAATCTCACTAATTGAAATTCTATTTAGAAAAAAAGTTGCACCTTTTAGGATAATCAAACAGCTGAGTAGTGAAATTGATGTTCTTCTACATACAAATGTAAAACGATACAGAAATTTCTTATTGGAGTTGCTTGAAAGAATAGCGATATTTGGTAAAGTTATTTCTTGCTCCACACAGAAATCAAACTTCCTACTATGCGCTGAATTGAGCATCAAAGGTGAAGATAATAAATTAACGTCGTATAATCGAAATGTTCTCAGAAGATCTTTTATGCGCACGACTGAGCTTCTTCTTGTGAGAGAGTATTGCATTGAGAATGTCTGTTGAAGAGATACGATGGAATGTGTACATTCTGATTGATGATCTTTTAAACAAGTTATAATTTTTCAGTTTTTCTAATTTCAATATACAACTACGTGATTAACCGAAAAGAAAAACTTCTCTTTTTTAAATCCAATTATCAAGAACTTTTATAATGAAAACTGTCAATTATTTTCCTTCCGTTAGACACTTTTCTTTGTTTCATGCTAAATAAAGATTCTCTTTTTTTTCTCATCACGTAAAGCACAAATAGAATAGTAAGTTCATTCTAAAAAGAAAACATTTGCGGTAACTAGTTTTTTTTAATCGTACTATGAAATCGTTTTCTATTCATTATAGCTATCAAAATTTACATCTATTCGTGTACAATGGCATCATCCAACATGACGTTACCCTTCGTTCAGCAACTTATGACTCGCGGTATATACTCAACATACCTTATACTTGGTGTAATTGGTTCTTGTCTGAACATTTCGTTATTTTGTAGACGAAAGTTTCATGACACATCGTACCGTATATGTAAGTTGAGAAAATCAATGAATATTAGAAAATGATGATACTTGAGGATTTTTCTTTTAGTTGTTTTTTTCGTCTTGCGTATCATATTCTATGTTTCTTTTGCATTTAGATTTACTAACAATGTCGATAGCAGCACTTGCATTTTTAATCTGTGTTCTTAGTTTAGCTTTATACGCACTCCACCAAACCGATCCAGTGACAACATTACTTTCGTTTTGCAAACTACGGATTTATGTTCTTCAGTGTTTGTCTCTTACATACCGATGGTGTTTGACCGCTGCTTGTTTTGACCGATTCGCTCTCTCATCTAACGATTTACATCTGAGAAACTTCGCACGAGTACAAATCGCACGTCGTACTGTTCGTATCATTATAGTGGTGTGTACTATTGCACCCGTGCATACTCTCATCTTCTATAATTTACGAGGACGTGTATGTGGCATTGTTTATAGTAGTGCTGCCGCGCTCTATCACAGTGTATTCTCAACATTGGCATTTGCTGTTCTTCCCGTTTCAATTATGTTTGCATGTGCTCGGTTAACTTATCGAAATCTGGTTCTCCAACGACGTCGTCAGCAAGTTCTTGTTGGGCAAAGAAGCAACTCGTTAAATAATTCAGACGAAGAGAAAAACAAACAAAATCAACAAGTTCTACGGATGTTGTTAGCACAAACGCTGTTTTATGCAGTGACAATAGCACCTTTGATGTGCATTTACATATATAATGCTATTACTTTTCAGGTTACCAATAAATCAGCGGATCGCATGGCTATCGAACAATTTTGTCAATTTCTGGCGGAACTCATCAATATTCTGTTCGCTGTTTCTTCATTTTATTTATACACATTGGTATCGCGGATGTTTCGTCGTGAGATATTAAATATGTTTCGCTCTGTTCTTACTCGGGTGTGTCAACCGAAAAATTTTCGACGCGTGACGCCTGTGATACACGATATTCAACTGGCCACTGTACCAACTCAAAACTAATGTCAACCTTGAAAGTCGACAATTAGGTCTTAGCGACTGGTGGCCATTTCTAATGAGAACATTTTTTACTCGATTTTTAGAGTTCAGTCGGCGAAAATCATTTGTAGATTTTCTTCTTTAATTATAATAAATAAATGCCGCACGTAATGTAACTACACACATCGTAAAATAGATATTTTTAGTTACTTAGTAAACTGCACGACTGCGTTGAACGTTATGCCAGATATAGATCAAGATAATGTTTTATTTCAAACCAGTCACAGACTACAACAAGATTTAACTTTGTAATTAAAACACAGAAAAGAAGCGGATGTAAATCTCAACTAGTTTATTCGAAGAAACAACTGCCAGAAAAAGAAATTGATAAAATCCTTCACCATGTGTATACAGTTTCATTTTATTTCCTTTGTACGATGATTTCAACTTCGATCGTAACATTGAATGGTAAAGATGTTAATCCACCACTTGTGCGTGCATGTTTGCCGACTTTCTCACCGAACACATTGACCAAAAACGTCGAACATCCATCGACAACAACAGTATGATTAGTAAAATCAGACTGTGATTGTACCTTACCATTGATGAAGACAATTTTCTTCACTTTACTGAGATCACCTAGATAGGTTTTCATTCTATTCACTTGACGTGCACATGCTAGTTTGGAAGCAGTTATCGCATCGGCCACACTAACTTCGTTCGGAACTCGGCCTTTGACAAAAGTACCTTGTGGCGTTTGCGGTGCGGCACTGGAGAGAAACAAGAGTTTGTTGACTTCGACAACATCGACATAATTTCCCAGAGCAGGCACAAGTGTAGGCAATTGTCCATTGGGAAATCCTAATGCGAGGAGTTCAGCTTGTAAGCGTTTCTCAATGTCCTTGTCGCTTGCAGTAGTGCCGCTGTTTTCGATGATGAGAAAGACAAACACGATGCACCAAATATGAATGAGTGATGGAAAGAGATTGAATTGCATGATTTGTTGTGTTCTATGGTACTTTAACGTTAGAAAATGACTCGAACGCGTTGAATTTATACAGTAACAGTAACTAAGTCTATTTTCAGAAACAAAAACACAATGTTCGAAACTGGCACCAGATACAAATCATTAGAAGACAACGTGAAAGAGTTCGAATTTAATTACCGAAATTTCGTAGTTTTTATATATTAAAGAGCGCCATCTGCTTGAATTGTCCTCGAAATCACATCAATGGTACTTAATGATGTTGTTTTTATGGATCCAAGATTTCTAATTTTTTCTAAATGAATGTTTTCGATTACTTGTTTTTTATCGGTATCAAAGTGCGATAAACGACCATTCAGAATATAATCGTTTGCACCATTATGGACATATGTGACAGTTGTATTTGGAGTGTGAAAGAAAGAAAAGATAATGTACTCCCTTTCTATTACTAAAAACAACTATAGTTTAGTTCACTTATTGTATAGTTCGAAATCTGCAAAATTTAATAAAGAAAAATAAATCTATTAATTTATTCTAAAGATGTTCACCTCTAAAAATAATATAAACATTACTGATGCCTTCAAAATCAAAACCGGTAGATCAAACATCAAATTTATTGAGCTCATAATAAATTCTTAGGTAATTTTTTTATTTTTAGAACCCGTTCAGATCGTGTTTAACAAAACTGAACGTGATAGAAATGTCAAATTCCCTCACTCCTATTCAACGAGTAAAGGTCGCGTCATCATGGCAGTTGAGTATCTGAGGGAGGAAGATAATCTTCAATTTCGAATGGGTATCCAATATGAACTCCTTTTCCACCGGCATCAGGCGTTGTCCAGAAACGAAGATGATTCAGACGTGGATTAGCCATCGCTTCCAAAGCGAATGCTTGTCCGTATTCTCTTCGTTGTGTATTGTTAGCAAAGTAATATGTTTCAGCCACTCCATACAATTTCGGAGCGCCGAGTGTTGACAAAGCAGCATCAGCATCATTTAGGACATGATTCACCAAATGTGCATAAGTAGAACTATTTCGATCGATATAACAAGAGAAATCGATTCGCGTTGGAAGCGGTAATTGTACGTCATTGAGAAATTTTAGAGAACGATATACCCAATACATGCATCGATGTCCATTTAGAGCGGGATATTGGGGATCGATGTAGGATGCATCGAGAATATGAGCTTCTTTTGCATCAACTAAGAAGTAAAGACTCGGAGTGAAATCCGCTGCTGCTACGACACGGAGAAAACGCGGATAGTGGGTTTGAAGAAACCAATCTTGATTCAATTTTGCTCCAATCATGACTTCATAATCGAGATAGATTCTTTCAACAACAAGAACGCCATCAGAACGTTTAACATCAGATACAGCAGTGATAATATCATCGGTAATCTTCTCAACACGTGCCGTGAACACAGTGGCATTTAAATGATCCGGTCCATAGCCTGATGATGTGTTTCCCACTCTATAATCAGCAGCTGCCAGCCAAAAAAGTGCTACATTAAGTCGTAATCGATGCTGGTCAATTTGGCTCTGTATAGATGCAACATCCAATGCATACTGATGTAAATTGATTTGTTCTTGTCGGCTAATCGGGAATGTAGCTAACCAGTATTGATCGCTAGTAGTATTAGGTTCCACACCAAACCAAATATCTAGAGTAACGAAATGAGCACCTTTATTAGCCATGCCTTGCAATTGAGTAAGCACTATGGCTCGTACCGTTGAATTATGATATTGGGTAAGAAATGCTGCTTGAACAAAATTAGCTCCACACGAATGATAGTCGACTCCGACTTCATAGGAAAGTACCGATGATATCACAGTAATTATTATAAAAACAAACGCTGAAAAGTCAAAAGAAGATTGTGCAACGTGCAACATTTTAATGCGAAACCATTCTTTCAATACTACGATAGTGGATATTTACATTTAAATATAAACGTCCACCCTTATCTGTTGTGTTTATTTGATAAGATGTCCCTTCAAAATAGCAAACAGAGTATTTTCAAATCTTGCATGTTACTGTCATTTTGATACTAAATTCTCACAAATGGCGCAGACACCTCCTCGTTGAGATCAACGTTCAATTTCAAATACTGTACTCTCCAAAAACTGCTAAGACTAGGATGAGATTTTTCATCCATATGCCTTCCAAAATGATTCTTTTTCATACTCTTCGTATCTGTCGTGTATATATGACACTGCAGAGATATAACCTTATCAGCATGACTTGGACATCACGAAAGAGCTGTTAGACTGTAATAATTTTAATATTTTCATCTTTATTTTCTACAATGCATACCTACATGCTTTTCATGTGTAAGTTTATGGTCATGAATTTCATTAATATTTCTATTTTTCATATTTAAGCTGCCTTTGTATGTTCGTTCTCATTAACAACCTCGTTAGTATTAAGTCCTTGTGCAAAATGGAACACAACAGGTATTGTGATAGCAGGGACTGGAGAAAGAGGTAACAAATCTGACCAATTAACGGATCCACGTAGTATCTTTTTTCTCAAACAAACACAAACATTATATGTCGTCGATAGCGGCAATAATCGCATACAGAAATTCTCCATCGGTAGTCCGTCGAAAATTGGTGTAACTGTTATCTCCAATGTTCAATACGTCACAGATATCTATGTTGATTATGAAAACAACAAGCCTGCTATCTATCTCAGTCTTGCAGGTGAACAACGTATTAGAAAATGGATTGAGGGCGAATCTGACGGTGTGCCTGCAGGAGGTCCATGTCCTTTGTGTGAAGGTGTGTGGGTTGACAAAGAGAAAAATGTTTACATGTCATCCGCTAGTAGACATTGCGTGTACAAATGGTCACCTGAAACAAATATTCCCATAGTCGTTGCTGGTAAAGAGGATTATTCAGGATCGTCAAGCAATAATCTGAACTCTCCCGAAGGCGTCTATGTCGATAGCATCCGTAATGCGATATACGTTGCGGACTACGGCAATAATCGAGTTCAAAAATGGGTCATCGGTGCATCGAACGGTACAACCATAGCTGGACTTAGCAGTGGGGAAGCAGGGAGTGATAAAGAATCGTTGAACCGTCCAACTAGTGTATGGGTTGATGATGAAACTCAAGTTATTTATGTCGCTGATTCTCAGAATCAACGAATTCAACGTTGGCTGTACAATTCATCTATCGGTGAAACGATTGCTGGTGGATTAGGTATGTAAAAGGAAAAATGATGAAGATTCATTGAACTTTTGTCTTGATAGGAACTGGTGATAAACTTACACAATTCGATCAACCAGATGATATAGCGTTTGATAATGATGGAAATCTTTATGTTTGTGATCGATTCAATGAACGTGTTATGATGTTTTCAATTATTGATAATCAGTCATGTTTTCCATCATCGACAAATCGTTTGAATTCTTTACCTTTCATTATTTTCATCACAATGGTACTCACATTTTTTTATCAATGAATAAAGAAATACAAATACTTCATTTTCCTTTTTTCGATCGCAGATGTAACCTGAATGAGAGATGAAAAAATTTGCAGAAACAAAACTATCTCAGCATCTTGTTCTTGTCAATTGCTATCAGTTTATTCCATACTTGAGTCGAAATACTATTTCTATTGAGACAGAGTCTCCTCGATGTTTACATGAAAAATAGTATCTTATAGAACATCACCGAAATGCCCTGCACCTGTGTCATTAGTTTGATGGATCTGCGAACTCAGTGGTGTTAACATCTATGCATTAAGAAAGAAGCCTATCAAAGTCATTTTAATATTATAGAAAATACTCATTGTGTTGCTTTTTAAAGCATCTGCAAGATAAAGTGCGCCCGTTTCTTGAACTTCATTATTTCGACGATACAACATGATCAGAAGTAAATTACCGCATTATATTCTAAAACAGCAGCCAAATATCGTACCCCGTAAAGGTCAATTCGATCGCTACTAAGATCGATGATCTAAAGAACATTCAAATGGAAAATTACCGTATTATGTTTTCAAGCGCCATACAAAGATGTTGTATACCATCACTGCCGAGTCGATTATTTGACATATTGATTGCCACTGATAATCAGTTGAGTAAGTGCCTATATGAGATTCACAAATAGATAGATTATGAACAGCAACATAGTTAGCTACTGGAATATATTGTAAATTTTCGACGAAATGTTGACGATTAAGATGTTCGATGACATACGTGTCTATTTACCACAAACTAAGAGAGCGCAAAGACTAGAAAAGAAAAACTTACTTGATTGTCATGTAAAGCACCGACGATATAATTCGTACTTCTACATCATCAAGTCTATAATCAGACAAGTTGATAGTCGTAAGTGCCTGGACATAAAAAAGATTCGAAATAACGACTTGCAGTAAATGAAAAGAATCAGAACTTTATCAGCTATTGCATGGTGATCACTTTCATTATGAAATAAAGTCAGTGTCTACACAGATGATAGTATAACAACGTCCACAACATGAAAAAAGCAAACCAAATTACCCTATTCGATTCTAAACAGTGAAGAAGATAATGAGTCGGTCCCTCGATAAGTAACAGAATTCTCGCTAAGATCGATTGTTTTGAGTGTCGGCGTATACAACTGTGTATTTGTAAAAGAAAGAAAAACTAATTGATAAATGTTTTGCTCCCGCGTTTTCGATCTTATTATTCGATAAATTCAACGTAACTATTGTCTGCGTACATATGAAAAAATTACAATCATCGGGAAAAAAACCAAATCACTGTATTGTATTCGATCTTAAAACTTCAGCAAGAATTACTGCACCTATATCTCCAATGTCACAGCTAGACATGTCCAACGTAGTAAGTGTCTGTAAATGTAACAAACAATTGCAATCAATGACAACAGGAATAACATTTCACCGTATTTGTGCGCATTGTGAGAGTCGCTTCAATAATTTTGCGAAATTGACTGTTATTATCAGTTAGGTTAAGTGTTCTGAGTGACTGAAAAATAATAAAATAGATAGAAACAAAGAAAGCAGCCGGTTACCGTATTGTGTGTTAAACATAGAGCAAGAATCTCAGCTCCTACATCTGTTATTGCATTGTTACTAAGATCGATTGCAGTCAACTTCTACAATTGCAAAGTATTTGTTGTAATAAAACGAAATTGGTTAGAGTTGAAAACCTATTATACTGTATTATATTTTAAGTATTCAGCTAGATGTTGGGCGCCTACATCTGTAATTGCATTGTTGCTGAGATCAATTGTGTTCAGCGTCTACAATTGCAAGATAGTTCTCGTGAAAGCGGAAGTGGAAAGAGTAGAAAGAAGATTACCGTATTAGATTTCAAGGCATTAACAAACTGCTCAACTTCAGTATCTCCGATGTGGTTCTTTGACAGATCCAATGTAAGAAAAGTCTGTGTTTAGTGAAGAAGTTATGTTAGAGAACTGATGATAGTTAAACGACTTACATCGTCGTGTTCCAGTGCAGCAGCAAGATCTTGTATAATTTCATTATTTGTACGAATGTTCTCGGGATATGACATCGTCAGATTCTGCCAATGAGAGTGAAAATCGACACTTATCATGTTTTACTAAAGCTATTATTCAACTCGTGGAAGATATTTGTTAATACATACTTTTTCTGTAATCTGCGCTTCAAACGATCTTCGAATAAATCGACAAGTGTAATCTTTCGATGATACTTCACATCTGTCTAAATCAATCATTGGATCCGTCAGATATTCCGGCCGTACGATCGATCTCGCGAAAGAATAGGAAGAGTGCATTAGAAAATATGATCTTTTTTGACGTCTTATCATAGGTCGGATTGCGTATCTGGAAAAACTCGAGCTCAACCAACGCATACGTTCACGTAGTTCTTGTTCTGAAAATCTTCCTTTATCATATCGTATTTGAACAGGTGTCGTATATATTCTAATCATTCGAGTTTGTAAGATATGATCACAGGTAATGTACCAATGTTTCTCTTCAAGCCAGAATGATGACCGAAAGGGAAGTATCAGCGATTTGATGTCAAGAATTTGAATATTGGAATTTTCACTGTAATGATAGGCAAAGAAGAACTTAAAGTCATGTAATAATGGTAATCTTCTCTTGAGTATTCTTTCCAAACGATGACCATTTAATCCGTATTCGTACATATCTTCATCAAAAACTAATTCTAGATGAGTAAGTGCCGGCACCGCTGAAAATAGCAATTCTAATTCTTCAAAATAAGCGGAACAATTCGTAATAGTCAAAGATTTCAGTTGATTTGATAATCCATTCGATATCTTTGGCCAGTATTCACCAACAACGCAATCTTCTATAACAAGCGTCCGTAGGGAAGGTATTCGTTTGCAAATGGAAAGGTATTGAAGTAGATTACAAGTACCAATTTCCAAACACTCCAATTGCCAATTGATTGGCCACGAAATGTTGTCGTTCGTCGTTAATTCTGATTTGGCGAAAACGAATTTGCGAAGATTGAACTTAGCAGCCAACGATATGACTTGAGGACGTGTGTGTTCTTCGATCTGAGTAATTGAAAGTTCGTCCAATGAGCGAAACGGTATTGAAGATAAAATGATCTTTATCACACTATAATTACAACCGTCAACGTGCAACGAGCGAAGTTGTGTAAATTGTATAAGAGGAAAATTTCGTGTCAAACACGAAATTACATCATCATCATCACTATGATACTTATTGTCAATAGTTAACGAAGTGATACTTGCAGGTGAAATGAACCGAAATAAAACATCATATTTCGAGTTTTTAGACAGATTACATTTCAATTCGAACCGGCTGTAGGTACTAGTAATATCATGGAGATATCTGCAGACACCACGGACCGCAAGTAGAATAGTTTGACTATCACAATAATCGAAAATACGATGACAAATTTCAGGAGGCAAAGAAAGTAACGAGATGTTCTCCATTTCGATGTGAATCTAAATGAAATGTAGACTATGATAACATACATCTATTTAAATACGAGGTACTCCATACGAAAGATAACACATTTCTTCCTTTCACCGTCACGATATAGTGCAGCATCTATTGTTGGCAAAAGCCGACTATGCGAGCATACAATTAGTAATACTGTTCGTTAATGACAATAACGTTTTCAGCATGATCACGGAATCTGCTGAAACAAAGACTTGTTCTTTACATACAAAACAATACAAAACGATTCGAAAGAATGTTTAAATATAACTCGTATTAGTGAGCAGTAAGTAATGTCTGGATTCGTTGCGATACAATACTTCTCATAAAATCAGTCATTGCTATTCGAAAAAGATTCGATGGCAGAATGAAAACAAAAACGATGGCCATGCACGGTAAAAAGGCGATGGAATAGGCAACTAGACTGATGTATGGTTGTCGATCAAGTTTTTTGCAGACAAAGATAAAACTTAATGCCAGACGAGGAATACCAAGACAGCCGAGTACAATAGGTGCTATGAGAATGTGCTTGTGTTTATCAATTGACTTTCTCAACATCTCTACTCTCATTCGTAGTCTTGCACTGTGACTGTGAGTAGAGCAGGCGTTTTTGTTGTCCAAGTATTGTTGATTTTTGAAGGTTGTAGTTTTGAAAATGATAATAATACTAGTGATAAAATTGATTAGTAATGGCAATAAGAATAGGAGAACATTTGTAATTGAGTATAAGATCAGCATTACTGGTCGATCGACATTTAATGTGAGTACACACCAAGCTCGTTCATCGTATGAATCGATAACAATACGACGAAAGATCAATTCCGGACAAGAAACGATTGCAAGAAAAATGAGAATGCATGCAATACATCGTCGAGCAAAGCGCTGACTTGCTGAACGTGAATATTTAATTGGATATATGACGGTATATGCTCGATCGGTAGCCACGCATGCATAGAGCCATTCGCAACTCGTTGGTGACCATTTCAGCAGAAATTCCATTAGTGAACAACCAATATTAGTTTGCTTTGGATTAAAAACAATGACTATTTTGCATATGAGTGCTACCATTGCCAATAGGCCAAGAATAGAGGCGACAAGCAAGTACAGTCCACATCCTGATTCGTGTGTCGTCTTTCTCATGAATGTACCGAAAGCTAATGCATTAAAACTCAATCCCAACAGGATTAGTGTTCCAAGAATGAGAACAGCCATTTGACATACTGCAGTCTGTTGAAAAATATTCGTTGCACTCGAACGAATATGTGATCCAATAATTGCATCAAGCGATAGACTATAAGTTGCTCGGGAGAATTGGCAAGTCGATCCATAGCTACACTGTTTGCAGATACATACTGCACTGGTTGGACAGGTCTCGTCATCTTGTACACACATGTGGTGACTGTGACATTTGTTCCACGAACATTTTCGAGGTGTACTGTGAAAATGAAAACAATTCGCATGATTCGTTCGATCGCACAAACACATGAGTGTCTCATCGTAGAAACATATGGCTTGCTGGTTGAGGCATTGGCGTTGATAGTTTTTTACACGACGTAATGGTGGCTGGTTGAGTACAGTTTGATTGAATAGTTCGTGAATCGGGCGGCATCGGCGAGAAGGGTGAACTACGGTGTGGAGTTCAGTTAGAGATGAAGAATACTCTCCACGTAGTAGTAAAAGATACAAGTCAAATCGATCTTGATGTTCGTACAATTGAATGAAAACCAGATTAGCCATATTGCGTCGGTGATCGAAATAGAACGTCAGATTGAACATTTCACGATGGATTCGACGAAAATATGTGAAAACCCGAGGCTCATTGACTAGGACTGTTTCCATCACATGAATAAAAACAATATTCGACAATGGAATACTTATTTCCGGGGCAAAAGAAATTGAAATACGTGGCTTGACTTTTTCACATCCTTCACCAAACCATTCTTCATCACACAAACACATGAATTTTTTCCTTATATCATAACGTACATCAAGTGGAACACATCTACCATGTCCGCTGCAATTCGTCTTCGCACATGGATTGAAAACAATCAAACATCGACGGCCAGTACGATCGAGAGGACATACACAAATGTCTCGCTGAAGGTCACGATCATATCCAAGACATAAAGAATCATTTGAACACGACGTGCAATTCGAATAAGTGATCGTTGTTGTTGTTGTTGACGATGTCGTCGACATATTCATGACCACAAGTTCCTTTGCTAGTCGACGAACAGGTAAGAATTCAAAGAAAACGGGAAAACTCCACAAGCTAACATGCCGAAGCGTATCGGCAGTGAATGCATGGATGTGTATAGTATGATTAAAGAACACTAAGGGCAAATCATCGATTGGGTAGAGTAATTCGAGCATATACCGTGGTGAACAATGTTGTTGTGGCGTATAAATAAATTCTTCGTGAGAAACAATCGAAAGTGTCAGATGATCACGCACTAATAAAACCACGAATTTGAGTATCGGCATATGATTATCGACGAGATTGCCTATGCGAAGTTGGAGGATGAGAGTGACGCGTTTTCGTTGGAATTGACAACGATCACCGTAATAATAGTTTGGACAGAGACAGAAAAATCCAGGTGGATCAATTGTCGAGCGAACATACAGACCAGAATTGCATTGCCAGAGGGTGCTTGCGGTCAATGCTCGATTCGAATAATCTGGAAATCTACTGATCTCAAACATTTGCTCTCGTTCAAGGTTATCAACCTCACAAAAGAGATTGTCTTCACCTTCGGAACACATGTGAATAGGGTTACAAAATTCTAAATAAAAACGCTGAAAGGATTAGGTAAAATCCAAAATTGAACTATTTACTGGTAGCCAAATATCGACCGTTACGACAGCGAAATTGGCGAGGGTGGCAGAAACTTTTTCGACCATTGTTGAGCCATACACATGCTGTTGTTTCATCGTCATTGTCCGGACAATCTTGATGGCAATCACATATTTGATACCGGTGAATACAAATGTCCGAATTGTTGCATCGAAATTGACGAATCGATTTACCGGGATATTTCATGCGACAGAATTCTGGTTCGTCAATCGACCCGACGCAATCGACGATGCCATCATTTGCCCGTGTTTTCGGCAGACATCTCGGATGACCTGTATCTACATTCAAACAGAAATGCTTGGTACTATTACAATGCAGAGCACTGAGACTCGATTGTGAACACGTCTTCAATTCATCGCTTCCGTCTGGACAATTCCACATCCAATTGCAATCTGTATAGTGCGTCGAACAAGGCCATTCGGTTTTGAGACAATGTGATTCATCTGTATCATTCGAAATGTTTGAAATTCGTTCGACAATACCATTGCAGATTTCAGAAAATGTGAAATCAAAGCGAGCTGTTTTTCCTTGGTAGGTCAAGCACTGGTCCGTCAAAGGATCAAAACATGCATACCAATGTCGAATATGTTCATCGCTCTTGTCGAAGCAGTGTGGCTAAAAATAGATTTTATACCAGATGTTTAATCAAGTGAAAATTGACTTACAACGCTATCAAAAACAAGTGATCGTGACAAACATTTTGTTCCATTATCACATTCAAATCGATACGGAAGTTCGAGTGCACACGTATTCGGATGATGTTCGTCCTCTTCATTAGCACAATCTGCAACACCGTCCAATAATCGATGATAGGATAAACATTTGCTGTGATCATCGCATTGAAATAGTGAACATTGATTCATCTCATGATTTAATGGTAGTAATGAACATGAACGTACGAATCGTTTAACATCTCGTAACATTTCATCAAACGTAACATAAGTTCTCGTCGTAAATGTCTCGAATGATCGACACGTTAAAGCGTTCTGAGTCTTGTTTTCGATGACCAGATAGGGACAGAGTGTCTGATTAAAACAAATCATGTCTGGTGTTGTATTGCGATAGATCAAATATATGTGTGAATATAATATAAGTGTTGACGGTGGCATTCGGGAAAAATAAAGACGATCTCGTTGAGTGATACATCCATCACTATATTGAAGGTTTGGTCCATCGTAACAATGGCCGTCGCCACATGAAAACAGTAACGAACTACATGCGTAATTTTCACAAGCCATTAGAAAACCTAGTAATTGGCATATTTTATTATTAAATACGTTTTCATCCGATTCATCCATACAATCATGAAAATAATCTCCATAGAGTGTCTTATCAATGCACTGTGAATTGGAACAACGATATTCTGTTTGTGGATCGCATTCATGTCTTTCAAGCTCAAGGCAATAGTACTCATCCAGGCCATTACTACAATTAATTTTACCTTAAATGACGAAAAGAAATTCTTATTTTACTGAATAATCAACGTTCACTAACCATCGCATATCTCACGCCAATCTAGACAAATGATGGAATTACATTCTTCATAATCCATAACATAGCATGTGCCATTCGTCATAGATAAAATATCAGTAGTTGAATATTTTCTCCTCTGTTGCTCTTGTTCTTGTATAAGATTCGCTAAGATCTTGTCTGAATCGAATGTATATTCACATTGCGCTCCAAACCAAAGATCGGAACAATTGAAAAACAGACCTGTTACTTTACCTGCTGCATATTCTTCAACTATATCCATTGGGGCAAACCAGTCAAGTAGTTGATCACTCGAAATGTTCATTTCACGTAATTGATTGAATGTCAGTTGTTGACCATTCATCGTCGTTTTATTAGGAATGGACAGATCCTCAACCGATCGACGACAAAATCGTACTATTTCAAATTTGGCTTGAGGGCTAAGTATATCATTAATCGCTCCATAGCGTCCAGTTCTAAGTGTCACAATGTGCAAACAATCAAATGCATTACTATAACCATTCGTGTCATGCATTAGACGTGAACCAGTGCATACAGTCCACAAGGTGATTATAAAAAATACAGTACTAAATCTTTTCGTTGCGTTCATCTGCTTAGATGATCCTAAACAGCTAACTGCGATACACTGTTTTACCTCACATTAGATTTTTAGTAGATGTTTATCGCTGGGCCTCTCTCTTCTGTTGCATTTACACAAACATAGAATACTATACATGGATATCCTGTTAACGGTAAATGCGTTTTTTACTTTGCACTTATCAACATGACTGACAAAGTTTATTATTTCTATGTGCGGAATTGAGATTTTACTAGATGAACGGTGAATCAGAATGAGTATAGATCAATGCATAAACATAGTTCGTATCTCGAATTGATTAACTATCTTTGAACATGTAGTAAACATCATTTTCTTAATTGTTATCGACGCATTGCTTGTACTTGATCGATGAACTTGGTTATTTGTCGTGCGGGTCGTTGTCGTTATGAACCGCCATACTGAGAGAGATATTCGGTGTTTTTACTGTTCCTAGAAAAAACTCTCACTCAACCGACACCACCGCCTTCATATTAACTGACGGTTGATAGGTGATTCAATGAAGGCTGTTCATAGTACGTTCATTTACATTTACACTTGGGACTGAAACATTTTTCAAACACATGCCAGTGTATTACAAGCGATGGAACGATCAAATATCGTAATCTATCGCGGTTTGGAGTGCGAGATCTTTTATTTATTTTTTGATAGAATGAAACACTATCACGAAACAGAACTAATACTTAAAGTTATGTTTCGAGTGGACCGTTGGATTTCGTTCATCATAAAATAGTACATATGTTTTCAAAAAAGCCATCGTTTGTAGGTCGAATACCTTCTATAGGTTTTGATAAATACTCAAGAAGACCCTTTCGTTGAACATTCATCCATTTCATAATACCTTCATACATCCATTCATTTACTTCAGATGGTTGTGGTAATCCGATACATTGAAAATTGATTGCCCTATTACTTCTAACTATCAATAACTTTTTGAGCGTACGATCGGCTAAACATTCTTTTTCATATTGATCTCGAAGTTGCTGATTCGAACATTCGCAATGTGATAGTAATAAAAAAGCATGTTTTTTTCTTTCATCATCACTCAATTTAAATGCCTTGATAATATCCTCTAATGCATTACGATTTTCGTCTGTTAATCGGCCAGCTCTTAGGATAATAACGAAATAATTAACATATTGAATATCTTGTTTAACAGCTGCCGCCACAGTGCTCACAACTTCAGCATTTGTCATTGTCGTATCAGCTAAACCTTGTGTATCAATGAACTTAAATGCTATTAATTCATTATTCGTATTTATTGATTTCCATTTTGATTCGATACCCTTCGTGACGCTTTGAAAGCTGGCATTGACCTTGAAAGCCTTATCATCTTCGAGCAGAAAATTACACAGGCGTGACTTGCCACAACCCGTGGGACCAAGAAATACAACATGGACATCTCGTTTACTGTTCGCCATATCTTGAGGGAGTGTGAGGGTGTGGACGAATGTGGGTAGATGCAGTTCACGTTATCTATAAAATACTGATCATTTAAATACAACCCAACCATAAACGTTGCTTGGCTTTTTCCAACATTTCTTTTCTGTTCTCTCCCGTACTTCTGTGACGCACGCCTCATAAACAGAAGAAAAAAAAGTGCTTTACAAAAAATATTTGTTGATAAAGTCTTTCTCTTTATACATACATGCAGCCGAATGAAATAACGAATTATAATCGAACCAACACTGAATACGGCATCGGAGCTACGAGAAAAGGAAAGAGGTAATATGAGATAAATTCTACTTATTAATACTATAGACACAGATTCAAATATGTACGGATTGCATTCGAATGTCGACAAGTAACTGATTGCTGCCATAGTGAGGCGATGGACAACATAAGTATAAAAAATAGCTCGGTTCGATTTCTGTTGCAGTTGAAGACTTTTTCATCAGATAGTATTGTAAATGAAACATTCGTTCTTGTAAGTTACAAAGGATGAAAAATATTGTAGAAAACGAATCAGATCAGCATAATCGGAAAATTCTGATTCTGTCACGATCTAAGAGAACATGTTGCCTATTTAGCTACAATACTAAGCGCTCCTTGATGTTACGACTACGCATTCGTAGATGATCCGGTGAAAAGCATCAATGCGACTATTATTAGAAATTATACCTGTAATCAACAATTTTCACTTCTCTTACTCGTGTTCAACGATGTACCTGTTGTTTCATTCTTTTCCTTGTGTCCATGTTTCTGAATATCATAGACTATGATTTATCAAATGAAGTAAAATAAAAAAATGCATCGAATATGTCATTTGATTCGCTTTACACATCTCCTCGACTGTTTTTCTATTTTCTCGATTATCATTCGTATCTTTGTAGAACTCTTTTCTTTTAATTATTCTAGATCTCCTGCTTGTTCAGTTCTTTCGACGACCTCGACCTCGTCGATTTCTTTTTCTTGGTACTTCCGATTCAACTATCGAAAGTAATATGAGATGTACGCCTTTTTTTATGCTGTAGATCGTATGATAATGGCTATCATCTTTACTTGTTTTTGTCGAAAATCTCAGAAAGATCGCGAAGCAAATGAATTCTTGGATGATAATCAGATTGGTCTAGAAGCAGATGAAGAATATTTTCACAAAACTAATAAGGTAGACCTTTTAGATATCTTTCAATATCGATAGCGATAGATGATGTTATTTTTAGAAGAAGTCGATGATTGCTCGTCCGTCTTCGTCAAAAGCGTCTGAAAGAAATTCACATGTGGACAGTCATTCGAGAAATGTTGATGTATATTTTCTCAATTCAGTCGTATCTACATATCACAATGATTACCGTTTCTTGAATCGATAAGTGGAATTCTTTGAATTTCGTTCAATATGATTTTCTATTTCCTTATGATAATATCCAAGTATGACGACCATGATGATGAAATAGATATATTCCCAAGGCTAATAAATGACAGCTAACAATTCGACCTATTCCATAATTTTCATCAGATATCTTTTGTACGATTAGATTTACATTCTCATGTATTATTGGAAAATTTCTTTTTTGTCAAGCAAATCATTCATAATCACTTTCGAAAGACTTGGAAAGGGAGAAATGTGTTCGAACCGAGCGGATCTTAGAGAAGACATAGAGAATTGATATTAATTTCAAGTTTTATTCTTTGCTTTATGTTTCAGAACGTAATGGATTTTCTCATGTACTTTTACACATCACTAGTCAGTTCTTTTATAAATGAATGTTTTCATCGATATTTTTGAGTCTTTGGCTCATATTTAGACTTGAATTGATCAAATTTTAGTAACTTCGGTGGTTTATTGCCATTTCATTTGAATACGATTATTTAGTTTTATGAAATTCATCACATCTATATACTCATTCTGTATGGTTCAATCCGCACAATATCCTTAACATATCAAATTTCCTGTTACTACAGGCACCTTGAAGAAGAATCATTCACTCATACGACGGATTGTTTTGTTGATGAAGAGTGCTTCATATAATATCTGAATAGAAAGATTCATTTAGTTTAATCATGTCTAACAGTTCAATTGGATATGTTTTTTAAATCAACGGAAACACAAATTGTTTCGAATTGAGAACATCGCACTTATTATTTGCTTGACGGTATTCAATACGTCGTTCTTTTATTTGATTCGTTGAAGAATTCAGGTGAGAACAGATTTCTACCAAAGATATGTTATAGTATGTTCGTCAGCTTTCAACATTGCCTTTTGCAAGATATGCAAACAAAAAAGACGAAACAAAAACCTTGTTTCTATCTTATCTCCATTGCTCAAATAAATGTATGAGTGCGACTCGTGTTTGCTGTTTTTTTCCCTTTTCATCACACCATTATACATACGCATTCGGAAATGAACTCACAGAATATTCGATAAAGCAAAACATTTCTGTATGATTAGTATGCAAATATCCTTTTATGTCGAATGATTTCATTATTAACGCTTAGTTGCACATTTAAAATATAAAGCCATAAGATGAATAATATTTATTCATCATTCACTTATATAAAATATAGAAATAAGAAACTTATAAATGTACTTGACTGTCTATTGAAATCCGAATACTTCGAACTATGTTTCTATTCATATTCTACGCCAGTGATATGACACAGAAATATCGTGGAATACTTGGTCTACTTATCTTCCTCATTCTCATTACAATTTGTAAAACCCAGCAGTTATCAACAATGAGAAGTGATTTTGATACAATCAGTTCACGTTTGATTGGTAATCGCTATCTAACGATATCAGCCCAAAATGATTATTCTTTTTTTCGTGTTGCATTCGCTCCATATGGCCCTGAAAATACGTGTTTTTATTCATATCGATCTACACAAGATTTTGTTCTAAGTATTGCTATTGGTCAAAATCAAACATATTTTGTTTACATACGTACAAATGACAATGATACAACAACTTTCGAAATCGGTGTATCTTATATAAACAAAACAAAGTGTTTACAAACTCGAGGAAATACTGAAGAATTTCCTGTAACACCAGTCACATTTCCTTCTTATGTAGTTGATAACATAGTATTGAAAGTTGATCCAGCCGGTGAATATGCATATGTCTTTTTAAGAGAAAATATATTTATATATGATATTCATAATGGAACTTTAATCAATATACCGTGGAGTAACGTTTTACCTAATGAAACTCGTTTCTTCCCGAAAGATGCTGATATCACTGTAACTAAAGATGGTATGTCTTTATGTTTATTAGCTAACTATTATCCCGTATCAACATCATCACGCGTACCGATTGTTTATCTACTTCATCTTGAACCTCCATCGAAAATAACTGTCCTGGATCAATTAATACTCATCAATGATAGTTTTGCTAGTTTCTCTTTTACTTATGGATATTTTTATGAATATATTATGTCAATATCAATTGAACATCAAACTCAACAAATTCTCGTTGCATTACCTTTTTTTCGTCGAACATTCCTATTGAAATTTAATGCTACAAATTTAATATTAATCGATTCAATTTCATCACAAGCAAGATCAGTTGGGTGGATTGATAATGGAACACAAGCTATTTTATTAATAAACAGTATTCCGACATTACCATGGGCATCATCACAACTTCACATTATTGATACAACAACGATGAACGTACAAAGTGCTATTCCAAATAATCAACAAAGTATCCCAGTTCAATCTGGTCAAAAAATAACGAGTTTTAATCGTCTAATTGTTATTCAAGGTGAACCAATTATTTTCACCGCCGATGGACTTGTTCTCTATGTTCCGGCATCACCAATTGATCATTATATTGAAGTCACTCAAATAACAGAATCTATATCTCAAATAAAACCATGTCCATCGGGAACTTGGAAGAATCGTATTGGTCCGTATTTATGTACAGTTTGTCCAACAGGATTTAAAAAAATGCTTTCAAATAATTCTGTATCTGAATGTCAACCTTGTTTACCTACATCGTATTGTCCACTTGCGTCAGTAAATGATGTTAATCAATCGTATTATCCATCCATCAATCAAGGATATCCTTATCCCAATTCTCCTCCAAGCGATAATTACGATGATATTATTATACAAAATACATTTCAAATAAGTTCATCGAGCGGTCATTGTCTTGTTGTTTCTCCATTATTTTGGACTTTACTTGTTTTTGGTATAATTGGAGTCATTCTATGTATCATGGGTATTCTTTATTGGATACCGAATGGTAGAAAACATTTTACATGGTTGAAGAAATTGTTTCAACGAACGGATATTGTTGGAGAAGGTGAATTATGGTTTGGTGGTTTAGCGTCATTTGCATTAATTGTCTTAATTATATTTGGATTTTGGTTTGGATCCGTTTATATAAAACAATATCCTATTGAAAAAGTGGATGGTACATTTTTTACATGTGATTCATCGTTAAAGAATGCAAAATTTTCGTCAACTTTACATTTGTTAGCGTTGCTAAAAGCACCGGAGGAAAAAACAATTTTCCAATTATTAGATCAACAAAATTGGACTTTAGTTGTCGATTTTGTTCAAACTGGTTTTACCTGTCAAGATATTCTTGTTCAAGTATTACAATTTCAAAACTAAATCCATTCTTATTGAATATCGTTTAGGGAAATATCGAATCGTATCAAATTATTCTTCCAGTAGCAAAATGTTTTCTTCAATCGGATAATGCTACACTTACTCTTGTTATTCCATTAACAACTCATCTCATTGATGTACAATTTAATCTAACAGGTTGTTTGACTTTATTGTTTCGTTCGGTTTGTTTGTAAAAGTCTTTCTTTAGGAAATTCTTATGTTGGTGCAAGTCGGATATGTGTTTTAGGACCATCGATGAATCATAGTGCAAGTTATTCATCGATTCAACAACTATCATTTTGTGAGATGATTTCAAATGATGATCAAACAATTTCTCAACATACGAGTGTACAACTTGACTTTACAAAAGTTATTAATCGAACGGAAAGTCTTTATGATAATGATCCAGTTGTTTTCAGCGGAATTTGGATTCCTACAGTTACAATTAAATCCTTCAATGATCGAATTGCTTATGAACAACAAGGAGATTATATTCGATATTTATCATCTCGACAAATTCTTTCAATTGATTTCAGTGAAACACAATTTTACATTAGAAATATTCAAGAACCAATAGCAAAATCGGGCGAAATCATTTTTCATAATATTCTTTTTTCAACTGTTTGCATTGAATTATTTGGTTTAGCATATTTATTATTTAAATTGGTTTTATTTCCAGCGGTTCATTGGATTTTCATTAAAATTATGAATCGATATTCAAGTAAAACTTCTTCTAAAACAATATTTTAACATTGTTAAGTTCAGACAACATGTCAAACCAGAGTGATGTTTTTTTTTCTCNGAATCTTCGAAAGAATAAGTTCGTTTTATCGTTTTTTGTTTATCGAAAATACTTACGAACTGAGATCGACTGTTGCTTGACCACTTCCACATGCTACGTCGACCGCAAGTGGAATTTTCTCATCGGTACTTTTTCCATCAAAATAATAATTTCGAATATGTTCGAATAATTCCTTTGGATAACCAGGTCTATAGAGACGATATTTCGCTGTATGATCTTCGCCGACAAAGAGTTGACTCGTCATGACTTTATCTTTATTTAATTATAACAAAATCCATATGAAAATGGTATTCTTGTTAGTAAAATGTTAAAATCCAGTAATATACATGAACTATAGATGGCGTAATTGAGTGGAAGGAAAGAGGAGAAGATGAAAAAAAACAACTGTTGTTTCGATGTCATTATGTAGTCAAACAGCATTTTTTTGTTGACGTCGAGAGGGTGCGAGGGTGTGGGTGAGGGTGTGGAGGTGTCTTCTGTTTACTCACACTCACCCTTGTTGTTATAATGAACGATGTACTTCGTGTGAAGTTTGCAGTGATAGTTCACATCTTCTTGATTGTTTATCATCACGTTGTAGAGAATCATCAATGTACTGTGGAAATCACCGGCGTAGAGAAGATTCTGCCGATATAAACTATGAAGATGAAGATTATGAAAATAATCATTACTCTAACGAGCAAATTCAATCAATTCCTTTTGTAGTTTATTTCATGTTTAATTTCGAGTGTTCGTTAGCGACAAAAACAACACGTTGACAAGATCTTCGAAATGAAGTTTTCCATACCTGTTCTTCGTTGATATATTTTACCATTTTTCCAGTCCATAACCCGTACGAAGACAACAGCTCCTAGCTTTTCGATTGCCGCGAACAGGACCAACTGGAGAACTATTATCATCCTCGACAGGGTTTCCACTTTTGTGTTGTTTATCCTCTGCTCGTCTGAAAGATTAGATTTTAAAAGCAGTTTATTTTAATGAAAATGAGGAGAAATCACATTCTTAAAAGATTTTGAGAGCTTTGGTTTTCTGTACCATTTAATTTGAAGTGCGATTCGGGGAAATGAGTTGTTTTACCATATACATAAATACATATACATTTCAAAATAGAAAACGAAATACAATATCTACTTCGTATGAGTCATGTTATACGATGAATCATGTGTTTCATGAAATGCGAAAACTCAATTACTTTTTGCAGTTTTCGTATTTGAGTCATTGTAATTATTTAATCGTATGATTCAGTTTTTCCTCGCTTATGAAGTTATTTCTGTAACTGATGGAACAAAAAGAGATAAATGGTGTTGCAAGATGGAAGAATCAAGTGTGTTTACATCTTAGAATGAAAATCATCTCTTAGAGAGAATGCGTATTATAATCTTATGACAAGTATTGTCATCTTCCTTCAACAGAACGCAGGTAGATTATGACATCCAAAAAATGAATCTTTGAAGAAGGATATCGAGTGAAAATTGACTCACATTTGAAGAGAAAAATCTCAAATGTGAAACTTGCGTCTCTCAAAACGGAATTTCAGAGAAGAATCTCCGTTGTCGGGATTGATGGTTCGAAGTGCCCAAATTGATCGTTTAGTGTGATTAAGATGATTTCAATAGTTTTATGATAAATCCACAAATAAGTGCAACGAGAAGGCGTTTGCCTTCATTTTAGTGAAAACATTTTCAAAAATCTCCTCAAAAACGTTTCCAAGCAGCGGATTAAACAGACCTGCAAAACATTAAAATGTTAAAAATCTATTGTTTTTTCATTTATTTAATAACACTGTGCAGAACTCTTGCGCCATGTTCAAGATCAACTTGCTCGAAAACGCATTGAAGAATACGGAGCAAAGCGACCACCATAATTCAGACTCCACTACGCCTTACTGCTCATCATTTCATCGCTTTTATTAATAATATAAATTTGACGATTCAAAGATCTACTGCTTTGTATTTACTTCATGATTAAGACGTAATCCCTACTTGTCACAAAACAAAGAATGAACACTGCAATTCTCATCACAAGAAAACGCACTAATTGAAATTCTATTTAGAAAAAAGTTGCATCTTTTAGGATAATCAAACAGCTGAGTATTGAAATTGGAGTTCTTCTACATACAAATGTCAAACGACACAGACATTTCTTATTGGAGTTGCTTGAAGGAATAGCGATATTTGGTAAAGTTATTTCTTGCTCCACGCAGAAATTAAACTTCCTACTATGCGCTGAATTGAGCATCAAAAGTGAAGATAATGAGTTAACGTCAAATGAACGTCGTATAATCGAAATGTTCTCATATATTCTGTTTTGCGCACGGCTGAGTTTCTTCTTGTGAGAGAGTATTGCACTGAGAATCTCTCTTGAAGAGATACGATGGATTGAATATGAATGTGTACACTCTGATTGATGATCTATTAAACAAGTTACGATTTGTCAGTTTATCTAATTTCAATATACAGCTACGTGATTAACCGAAAAAAAAAACTCCTTTTTTAAAATCCAATTATCAAGAACTTTTATAATGAAAACTGTCAATTATTTTCCTTCCGTTAGTCAGTTCTTTGTTTCATGCTAAATAAAGATTCTCTTTTTTTTCTCATCACGTAAAGCACAAATAGAATAGTAAGTTTGTTCTAAAGAGAGAGCATTTGCGGTAACTCGTTTTTTTAATCGTACTATGAAATCATTTTCTATTTATTATAGCTATCAAAATTTACATTTATTCCTGTAAATTATAGTTCTACAAATATTGTGGACAATGGCATCATCCAACACGACGTTGCCTTTCGTTCAGCAACTTATGACTCGCTGTATATACTCAACATATCTTGTACTTGGTGTAATTGGTTCTTGTCTGAACATTTCATTATTTTGTAGACGAAAGTTTCATGACACATCGTACCGTATATGTAAGTTGAGAAAATCAATAAATTTGACGTAGATGAATATTAGAAAATGATAATACTTGAGGATTTTTCTTTTAGTTGTTTTTTTTCGTCTTGTATATCCTATTCTATGTTTCTTTTGCATTTAGATTTACTAACAATGTCGATAGCAGCACTTGCATTTTTGATCTGTGTTCTTAGTTTATCTTTATACGCGCTCAACCACACCGATCCAGTGACAACATTACTTGCGTTTTGCAAACTACGGATTTATGTTCTTCAGTGTTTGTCTCTTACGTACCGATGGTGTTTGACCGCTGCTTGTTTTGACCGATTCGCTCTCTCATCTAACGATTTACATATGAGAAACTTCGCACGAGTACAAATCGCACGCCGTACTGTTTGTATCATTGTAGTAGTGTGTACTATTGCACCCGTGCATACTCTCATCTTCTATAATTTACGAGGACGTGTATGTGGCATTGTTTATAGTAGTGCTGCCGCGCTCTATCACAGTGTATTCTCAACGTTGGCATTTGCCGTTCTTCCCGTTGCAATTATGTTTGCATGTGCTCGGTTGACGTATCGCAATCTGGTTCTTCAACGACGTCGTCAGCAAGTTCTTGTTGGGCAAAGAAGCAGCTCGTTAAGTAATTCAGACGAAGAGAAAAACAAACAAAATCAACAAGTTCTACGGATGTTGTTAGCACAAACGCTGTTTTATGCAGTGACAATAGCACCTTTGATGTGCATTTACATATATAATGCTATTACTTTTCAGGTTACCAATAAATCAGCGGATCGCATGGCTATCGAACAATTTTGTCAATTTCTGGCGGAACTCATCAATATTCTGTTCGCTGTTTCTTCATTTTATTTATACACATTGGTATCGCGGATGTTTCGTCGTGAGATATTAAATATGTTTCGCTCTGTTCTTACTCGGGTGTGTCAACCGAAAAATTTTCGACGCGTGACGCCTGTGATACACGATATTCAACTGGCCACTGTACCAACTCAAAACTAATGTCAACCTTGAAAGTCGACAATTAGGTCTTAGCGACTGGTGGCCATTTCTAATGAGAACATTTTTTACTCGATTTTTAGAGTTCAGTCGGCGAAAATCATTTGTAGATTTTCTTCTTTAATTATAATAAATAAATGCCGCACGTAATGTAACTACACACATCGTAAAATAGATATTTTTAGTTACTTAGTAAACTGCACGACTGCGTTGAACGTTATGCCAGATATAGATCAAGATAATGTTTTATTTCAAACCAGTCACAGACTACAACAAGATTTAACTTTGTAATTAAAACACAGAAAAGAAGCGGATGTAAATCTCAACTAGTTTATTCGAAGAAACAACTGCCAGAAAAAGAAATTGATAAAATCCTTCACCATGTGTATACAGTTTCATTTTATTTCCTTTGTACGATGATTTCAACTTCGATCGTAACATTGAATGGTAAAGATGTTAATCCACCACTTGTGCGTGCATGTTTGCCGACTTTCTCACCGAACACATTGACCAAAAACGTCGAACATCCATCGACAACAACAGTATGATTAGTAAAATCAGACTGTGATTGTACCTTACCATTGATGAAGACAATTTTCTTCACTTTACTGAGATCACCTAGATAGGTTTTCATTCTATTCACTTGACGTGCACATGCTAGTTTGGAAGCAGTTATCGCATCGGCCACACTAACTTCGTTCGGAACTCGGCCTTTGACAAAAGTACCTTGTGGCGTTTGCGGTGCGGCACTGGAGAGAAATAAGAGTTTGTTGACTTCAACGACATCGACATAATTTCCCAGAGCAGGTACAAGCGTAGGCAATTGCCCATTTGGAAATCCTAGTGCGAGGAGTTCAGCTTGTAAACGTTTCTCAATGTCCTTGTCATTTGCAGTGGTGCTGCTGTTTTCGATGATAAGAAAGACAAACACGATGCACCAAATATGAATGAGTGATGGAAACAGATTGAATTGCATGATTTGTTGTGTTCTATGGTACTTTAATGTTAGAAAATGATTTGAACGTGTTGAATTTATATACTAACAGTAACTAAATCTATTTTTAGAAAAAAAAACACACAATGTTCGAAACTGGCACCAGATACAAATCATTAGAAGATAGTGTAAAAGAGTTCGAGTTTAATTACCGAAATTCCGTAGTTTTTATATATTACAGAGCGTCATCTGCTCAAATTGTCCTCAAATCACATCAATGGTACCTAATGATGTTGTTTTTATGAATACAAGTTTTCTCATTTTTCTCTCAATGAATGTTTTCGATTACTTACTTTTTGTTGGTATCAAAGTGCGATAAACGACCATTCAGAATATAATCATTTGTGCCATCATGAACATATGTGACAGTTGAATTGGGTATGGAAAGAAACGAAAGAAAGGTTAATTGTCTCCCTTTCTATTACTAAAAACAACTATTGCTTAGTTCACTTACTGTATAGTTCGAAATCAGTCAAATTTAATAAAGAAAAAAAAAGCCTATTAAATTATTCTGAAGATATTCATCTTTAAAAGTAATATAAACATTACTGACGCCTCCAAATAAAAAACGGTAGATAAAAAGCATGAAATTTGTTGAGCTCGTCATAATAAATTCTTGGGTAATTTTTTATTTTTAGAGCCCGTTCAGATTGTGTTTAAGAAAACTGAACGTGGTAGAAATTTCAAGTTCATTCACTCCTATTCAACGAGCAAAGGTCGCGCAATTATAGCAGTTGTCGAATATCTGAGGGAGGAAGATAATCTTCAATTTCGAATGGGTATCCAATATGAACTCCTTTTCCACCGGCATCAGGCGTTGTCCAGAAACGAAGATGATTCAGGCGTGGATTAGCCATCGCTTCCAAAGCGAACGCTTGTCCGTATTCTCTTCGTTGTGTACTATTAGCAAAGTAATACGTTTCAGCCACTCCGTAGAATTTCGGGGCGCCGAGTGTTGACAAAGCAGCATCAGCATCATTTAGGACATGATTTACTAGGTGTGCATAAGTAGAACTATTTCGATCGATATAACAAGAAAAATCGATTCGTGTTGGAAGTGGTAATTGTACGTCGTTGAGAAATTTTAGAGAACGATATACCCAATACATGCATCGGTGTCCATTCAGAGCGGGATATTGGGGATCGATGTAGGATGCATCGAGAATATAAGCTTCTTTTGCATCAACTAAGAAGTAGAGACTCGGAGTGAAACCAGCTGCTGCTACGACACGGAGAAAACGCGGATAGTGGGTTTGAAGAAACCAATCTTGATTCAGTTTTGCTCCAATCATGACTTCATAATCGAGATAGACTCTTTCCACAACAAGAACGCCATCGGAACGTTTTACATTAGATACAGCAGCGATAATATCATCGGTAATCTTCTCAACACGTGCCGTGAACACAGTGGCATTTAAATGATCCGGTCCATAGCCTGATGATGAGTTTCCCACTCTATAATCAGCAGCTGCGAGCCAAAAAAGTGCAACATTAAGTCGTAATCGATGCTGGTCAATTTGGCTCTGTATAGATGCAACATCCAATGCATACTGATGTAAATTGATTTGTTCTTGTCGACTAATCGGAAATGTAGCTAACCAGTATTGATCGTTAGTGGTATTAGGTTCTACACCAAACCAAATATCTAGAGTAACGAAATGAGCACCTTTATTAGCCATGCCTTGCAATTGAGTAAGCACTATCGCTCGTACCGTTGAATTATGATATTGAGTAAGAAATGCTGTTTGAACAAAATTAGCTCCACACGAATGATAGTCGACTCCGACTTCATAGGAAAGTACCGATGATATCACAGCAATTGTAATCAAAACAAATGTTGAAAAGTCAAAAGAAGATTGTGCAACGTGCAACATTTTAGTGCGAAACAATTCTTTCAATACTACGATAGTGGATATTTACATTTAAATATAAACGTCCAGCCTTATCTGTTGTGTTTATGTGATAAGATCTCCCTTCAAAATAACAAACGAAGTATTTTCAAATCTTACATGTTACTTGTCATTTTGATACTAAATTCAGAAGTTCTCTGAAATAATGTGAGATTCCATTTTTAGCTCACGGTGATGCAGACACCTCCTCGTTGAGATCAACGTTCAATTTCAAATATTGTACTCTCCAAAAACTGCTGAGACGAGGATGAGATTTTTCATCCATATGCCTTCAAAAATGATTCTTTCTCACACTCTTCCTATCTGTTGTGTATATATGACACTGCAAAGATATAGCCTTATCAGCATGACTTGGGCATCATAAAAGAGCTGTTAGACTCTGATCATTTTAATATTTTCATCTTTATTTTCTACAATGCATACCTACATGCTTTTCATATGTAAGTTTATGGTCATGAATTTGATTAATATTTCTATTTTTCCTATTTAAGTTGCATTTGTATGTTCGTTCTCATTAACAACCTCGTTAATATTAAGTCCTTGTGCAAAATGGAACACAACAGGTATTGTGATAGCAGGGACTGGAGAAAGAGGTAACAAATCTGACCAATTAACTGATCCACGCAGCATCTTTTTTCTCAAACAAACACAAACATTGTATGTCGCTGATGCCGGCAATAATCGCATACAGAAATTCTCCATCGATAGTCCGTCGAAAATTGGTGTAACTGTCATCTCCAATGTTCAATACGTCACAGATATCTATGTTGATTATGAAAACAACAAGCCTGCCATCTATCTCAGTCTTGGAGGTGAACAACGTGTTAGAAAATGGATTGAGGGCGAATCTGACAGTGTGCCTGTAGGAGGTCCATGCCCTTTCTGTGAAGGTGTGTGGGTTGACAAAGAGAAAAATGTTTACATGTCATCCGCTAGTAGACATTGTGTATACAAATGGTCACCTGAAACAAATATTCCCATAGTCGTTGCTGGTAAAGAGGATTATTCAGGATCGTCAAGCAATAATCTGAACTCTCCCGAAGGCGTCTATGTCGATAACATCCGTAATGCGATATACGTTGCGGACTATGCCAATAATCGAGTTCAAAAATGGTTCATCGGTGCATCGAACGGTACAACCATCGCTGGACTTAGCAGTGGGGAAGCAGGGAGTGATAAAGAATCGTTGAAGCGCCCAACTAGTGTATGGGTTGATGACGAAACTCAAGTTATTTATATCGCTGATTCACAGAATCAACGAATTCAACGTTGGCTATACAATTCATCTATTGGTGAAACGATTGCTGGTGGATTAGGTATGTAAAAGGAAAAACGACGAAGATTCATAGAACTTTTGTCTTGATAGGAACTGGTGATAAACTTACACAATTCGATCAACCAGATGATATAGCGTTTGATAATGATGGAAATCTTTATGTTTGTGATCGAATCAATGAACGTGTTATGATGTTTTCAATTATTGATAATCAGTCATGTTTTCCATCATCGACAAATCGTTTGAATTCTTTATCTTTCATTATTTTCATCACAACGGTATTCACATTTTTTTATCCATAAATAAAGAAATACAAATACTTCATTTTCCTTTTTTCGATCGCATATGTAACCTGATTGAGAGATGAAAAAATTTGTAGAAACAAAACTATCTCAGCATCTTGTTCTTGTCAATTGCTATCAGTTTATTCCATACTTGAGTCGAAATACTATTTCTATTGAGATAGAATCTCCTCGATGTCTACATGAAAAATAGTATCTTATAGAACATCACCGAAATGCCCTGCACCTGTGTCATTAGTTTGATGGATCTGCGAACTCAGTGGTGTTAGCATCTATGCATTAAGAAAGAAGCCTATCAAAGTAATTTTAATATTATGGAAAACACTCACCGTGCTACTTTTTAAAGCACCTGCAAGATAAAGTGCGCCCGTTTCTTGAATTCCATTATTTCGAAGATAGAACATGATCAGAAGTAAATTACCGCATTATATTCTAAAACAGCAGCCAAATCTCGTACCCCGTAAAGGTCAATTCTATCGCTACTAAGATCGATGATCTAGAGAACATTCAAATGAAAAATTACCGTATTATGTTTTCAAGCGCCATACAAACATGTTGTATACCATCACTGCCGAGTCGATTCTTTGACATATTGATTGCCACTGATAATCAGTTGAGTAAGTGTCTATATGCGATTCACAAATAGATAGATTATGAACAGCAACATAGTTAGCTACTGGAATATATTGTAAATTTTCGACGAAATGTTGATGATTAAGATGTTCGATGACATACGTGTCTATTTACCTCAAACTAAGAGAGCGCACAGACTAGAAAAGAAAGACTTGCTTGATTGTCGTGTGAAGCACCGACGGTAATTCGTACTTCTACATCATCAAGTCTATCATCAGACAAGTTGATAGTCGTAAGTGCTTGGACATAAAAAAGATTCGAAATAACGACATGCAGCAAATGAAAAGAATCAGAACTTTATCAGCTATTGCATGATGATCACTTTCATTATGAAATAAAGTCAGTGTCTACACAGATGATAGTATAACAACGTCCACAAATGAAAAAAGCAAACCAAATTACCCTATTCGATTCTAAAAAGTGAAGAAGATAATGAGTCGGTCCCTCGATAAGTAACAGGATTCTCGCTAAGATCGATTGTTTTGAGTGTCGGTGTATACAACTGTGTATTTGTAAAAGAAAGAAAAACTAATAACTTCACAACCACCTTATTCTGTTGCGACATAATTGATAAATGTTTTGCTCCCGCGTCTTCGATCTTATTATTCGATAAATTCAACGTAACTATCGTCTGCGTACATATGAAAAAATTACACAATCATCGGGAAAAAAAGAAATCACTGTATTGTATTCGATCTTAAAACTTCAGCAAGAATTACTGCACCTATATCTCCAATGTCACAGCTAGACATATCCAACGTAGTAAGTGTCTGTAAATGTAACAAACAATTGCAATCAATGACAACAGGAATAACATCTCACCGCATTTGTGCGCATTGTGAGAGTCGCTTCAATAATTTTGCGGAATTGACTGTTATTATCAGTTAGGTTGAGCGTTCTGAGTGACTGAAAAATAATAAAATAGATAGAAACAAAGAAAGCAGCCGGTTACCGTATTGTGTGTTAAACACAGAGCAAGAATCTCAGCTCCTACATCTGTTATTGCATTGTTACTAAGATCGATTGCAGTCAACTTCTACAATTGCAAAGTATTTGTTGTAATAAAACGAAATTGGTAAGAGTTGAAAACCTATTATACTGTATTATATTTTAAGTATTCAGCTAGATGTTGGGCGCCTACATCTGTGATTGCATTGTTGCTGAGATCAATTGTGTTCAGCGTCTACAATTGCAAGATAGTTCTCGTGAAAGCGAAAATGGAAAGAGTAGAAAGAACATTACCGTATTAGATCTCAAGGCATTAACAAACTGCTCAACTTCAGTATCTCCGATGTGGTTCTTTGACAGATCCAATGTAAGAAACGTCTGTGTTTAGTGAAGAAGTTATGTTAGAGAAATGATGATAGTTAAACGACTTACGTCGTCGTGTTCCAGTGCAGCAGCAAGATCTTGTATAATTTCATTATTTGTACGAATGTTCTCAGGATATGACATCGTCAGATTCTACCAATGAGAGTGATAATCGACACTTATCATGTTTTACTAAAGCTATTATTCAACTCGTGGAAGAAATTTATTAGTACATACTTTTTCTGTAATCTGCGCTTCAAACGATCTTCGAATAAATCGACAAGTGTAATCTTTCGATGATACTTCACATCTGTCTAAATCAATCATTGGATCCGTCAGATATTCCGACCGTACGATCGATCTCGCGAAAGAATAGGAAGAGTGCATTAGAAAATATGATCTTTTTTGACGTCTTATCATAGGTCGGATTGCGTATCTGGAAAAACTCGAGCTCAACCAACGCATACGTTCACGTAGTTCTTGTTCTGAAAATCTTCCTTTATCATATCGTATTTGAACAGGTGTCGTATATATTCTAATCATTCGAGTTTGTAAGATATGATCACAGGTAATGTACCAATGTTTCTCTTCAAGCCAGAATGATGACCGAAAGGGAAGTATCAGCGATTTGATGTCAAGAATTTGAATATTGGAATTTTCACTGTAATGATAGGCAAAGAAGAACTTAAAGTCATGTAATAATGGTAATCTTCTCTTGAGTATTCTTTCCAAACGATGACCATTTAATCCGTATTCGTACATATCTTCATCAAAAACTAATTCTAGATGAGTAAGTGCCGGCACCGCTGAAAATAGCAATTCTAATTCTTCAAAATAAGCGGAACAATTCGTAATAGTCAAAGATTTCAGTTGATTTGATAATCCATTCGATATCTTTGGCCAGTATTCACCAACAACGCAATCTTCTATAACAAGCGTCCGTAGGGAAGGTATTCGTTTGCAAATGGAAAGGTATTGAAGTAGATTACAAGTACCAATTTCCAAACACTCCAATTGCCAATTGATTGGCCACAAAATGTTGTCGTTCGTCGTTAATTCTGATTTGGCGAAAACGAATTTGCGAAGATTGAACTTAGCAGCCAACGATATGACTTGAGGACGTGTGTGTTCTTCGATCTGAGTAATTGAAAGTTCGTCCAATGAGTGAAACGGTATTGAAGATAAAATGATCTTTATCACACTATAATTACAACCGTCAACGTGCAACGAGCGAAGTTGTGTAAATTGTATAAGAGGAAAATTTCGTGTCAAACAAGAAATTACATCATCATCATGACTATGATACTTATTGTCAATAGTTAACGAAGTGATACTTGCAGGTGAAATGAACCGAAATAAAACATCATATTTCGAGTTTTTAGACAGATTACATTTCAATTCGAACCGACTGTAGGTACTAGTAATATCATGGAGATATCTGCAGACACCACGGACCGAAAGTAGAATAGTTTGACTATCACAATAATCGAAAATACGATGACAAATTTCAGGAGGCAAAGAAAGTAACGAGATGTTCTCCATTTCGATGTGAATCTAAATGAAATGTAGACTATGGTAACATACATCTATTTAAATACGAGATACTCCATACGAAAGATAACATATTTCTTCCTTTCACCGTCACGATATAGTGCAGCCTCTATTGTTGGCAAAAGCCGACTATGCGAGCATACAATTAGTAATACTGTTCGTTAATGACAATAACGTTTTCAGCATGACCACGAAATCTGCTGAAACAAAGACTTGTTCTTTACATACAAAACACATAGTTACATAACAAAACGATACAAACGATTCGAAAGAATGTTTAAATATAACTTCTGTTAGTGAGCAGTAAGTAATGTCTGGATTCGTTGCGATACAATACTTCTCATAAAATCAGTCATTGCTACTCGAAAAAGATTCGATGGCAGAATGAAAACAAAAACGATGGCCATGCATGGTAAAAAGGCGATGCAATAGGCAACTAGACTGATGTATGGTTGTCGATCAAGTTTTTTGCAGACAAAGATAAAACTTAATATCAGGCGAGGAATACCAAGACAGCCGAGTACAACAGGTGCTATGAGAATATGCTTATGTTTATCAATAGACTTTCTCAACGTCTCTACTCTCATTCCTAGTCTTACACTGTGACTATGAGTAGAGTAGACGATTTTGTTGTTCAAGTATTGTTGATTTTTGAAGGTTGTAGTTTTGTAAATGATAATAATACTAGTGATAAAATTGATTAATAATGGCAATAAGAATAGGAGAACATTTGTAATTGAATATAAGATTAGCATTACTTGTCGATCGGCATTTAATGTGAGTACACACCAAGCTCGTTCATCGTATGAATCGATAACAATACGACGAAAGATCAATTCCGGACAAGAAATGATTGCAAGAAAGATGAGAATGCATACAATACTTCGTCGAGCAAAGCGCTGACTTGCTGAACGTGAATATTTAATTGGATATATGACGGTATACGCTCGATCGGTAGCCACGCATGCATAGAGCCATTCGCAACTTGTTGGTGACCATTTCAGTAGAAATTCCATCAGTGAACAACCAATGTTAGTTTGCTTTGGATTAAAAACAATGACTATTTTGCATATGAGTGCTACCATTGCCAATAGACCAAGAATAGAGGCGACAAGCAAGTACAATCCACATCCTGATTCGTGTGTCATCTTTCGCATGAATGTGCCGAAAGCTAATGTATTAAAACTTAATCCTAACAGGATTAGTGTTCCAAGAATGAGAACAGCCATTCGACACACTGCAGACTGTTGAAAAATATTCGTTGCACTCGACCGAATATGTGATCCAATAATTGCATCAAGCGATAGGCTATAATCTGCTTTAGAAAACTGGCAAGTCGATCCATAGCTACACTGTTTGCAGACACATACTGCACTGGTTGGACAGATCTCGTCATCTTGTACACACATACCATGACTGTGACATTTGTTCCGCGAACATTTCCGAGGTGTACTGTGAAAATGAAAACAATTCACATGATTCGTTCGATCACACAAACACATCAGTGTTTCATCGTAGAAACATATGGCTTGTTGGTCGAGGCATTGGCGTTGATAGTTTTTTACGCGACGTAAAGGTGGCTGGTTGAGTACAGTTTGATTGAATAGTTCATGAATCGGACGGCATCGGCGAGAAGGGCGGACTACGGCGTGGAGTTCAGTTAGGGATGGAGAATACTCTCCACGTAGTAATAAAAGATAAAAGTCAAATCGATCTTGATGTTCATACAATTGAATGAAAACTAGATTAGCAATACTGCGTCGGTGATCGAAATAGAACGTCAGATTGAACATTTCACGATGGACTCGACGAAAATACGTGAAAACACGAGGTTCATTGACTAGGAATGTTTCTATCACATGAATAAAAACAATATTCGACAATGGAATACTTATTTCTGGAACAAAAGAAATTGAGATATGTGGCTTGACTTTTTCACATCCTTCACCAAACCATTCTTCATCACACAAACACATGAATTGTTTCCTTACATCATAACGTACATCAAGTGGAACGCATCTTCCATGTCCACTGCAATTCGTCTTCGCACATGGATTGAAAACAATCAAACACCGACGGCCAGTACGATCGAGAGGGCATACACAAATGTCTCGCTGAAGATCACGACCGTAACCAAGACATAACGAATCACTCGAACACGACGTGCAATTCGAATAAGTGATTGTTGTTGACAATGTCGTCGATATGTTCATGACCACAAGCTCCTTTGCTAGTCGACGAACAGGTAGGAATTCGAAGAAAATGGGAAAATTCCAAAACGCAACATGCCGAAGCGTATTGGCAATGAATGCATGGATGTGTATAGTATGATTGAAGAACACTAAGGGTAAATCATCGATTGGGTAGAGTAATTCTAGCATATAGCGTGGTGAACAATGTTGTTGTGGCGTATAAATAAATTCTTCGTGAGAAATAATCGAAAGTGTCAGATGATCACGTACCAATAAAACCACAAATTTGAGTATCGGCATGTGGTTATCGATGAGATTGTCTATGCGAAGTTGGAGGATGAGACTGACGCGTTTTCGTTGAAATTGACAATGATCACCGTAATAGTAATTTGAACAGAGACAGAAAAATCCAGGTGGATCAATTGTCGAGCGAACATACAGACCAGAATTGCATTGCCAGAGGGTGCTTGCAGTCAATGCTCGATTCGAATAATCTGGAAATCTACTAATCTCAAACATTTGCTCTGCTTCAAGGTTATCAACGTCACAGAAGAAATTGTCTTCACCTTCGGAACACATGTGAATAGTGTTGCAAAACTCTAGATAAAAACGCTGAAAGGATTAGATAAAATCCAAAATTGAACTATTTACTGGTAGCCAAATATCGACCGTTGCGACAGCGAAACTGGCGAGGATGGCAGAAACTTTCTCGGCCATTGTTGAGCCATACACATGCAGTTGTTTCATCATCATTGTCCGGACAATCTTGATGGCAATCACATATTTGATACCGGTGAATACAAATGTCCGAATTGTTGCATCGAAATTGACGAATCGATTTACCGGGATATTTCATGCGACAGAATTCTGGTTCGTCAATCGATCCGACGCAATCGACGATGCCATCATTTGCCCGTGTTTTCGGCAGACACCTCGGATGACCTGTATCTACATTCAAACAGAAATGCTTGGTACTATTACAATGCAGAGCACTGAGACTCGATTGTGAACACGTCTTCAATTCATCGCTTCCGTCTGGACAATTCCATATCCAATTGCAATCTGTATAGTGTGTCGAACAAGGCCATTCGGTTTTGAGACAATGTGATTCATCTGTATCATTCGAAATGTTTGAAATTCGTTCGATGATGCCATTGCAGATTTCGGAAAATGTGAAATCAAAGCGAGCTGTTTTTCCTTGGTAGGTCAAGCACTGGTCCGTCAAAGGATCAAAACATGCATGCCAATGTCGAATATGTTCATCGCTCTTGTCGAAGCAGTGTGGCTAAAAATAGATTTTATAGCAGATGTTTAATCAAGTAAAAATTGACTTACAACACCATCGAAAACAAGTGATCGTGACAAACATTTTGTTCCATTGTCACATTCAAATCGATAGGGAAGTTCGAGCGCACATGTATTCGGATAATGTTCGTCCTCTTCATTAGCACAATCTGCAGTACCATCCAATAATCGATGATAGGATAAACATTTACTGTGATCAGCGCATTGAAATAGTGAACATTGATTCATCTCATGATTTAATGGTAGTAATGAACATGAACGTACGAATCGTTTAACATCTCGTAACATTTCATCGAACGTAACATAAGTTTTCGTTGTAAATGTCTCGAATGGCCGACACGTTAGACCGTTCTGGGTTTTGTTTTCGATGACCAGATAGGGACAGAGTGTCTGATTAAAACAAATCATGTCTGGTGTTGTATTGCGATAGATCAAATAAATGTGTGAATATAATATAAGTGATGACGGTGGCATTCGGGAAAAATAAAGACGATCTCGTTGAGTGATGCATCCATCACTATATTGAAGGTTTGGCCCATCGTAACAATGGCCGTCGCCACATGAAAACAGTAACGAACTACATGCGTAATTTTCACAAGCCATTAGAAAATCTAGTAATTCACATAGTTTACTATTAAATATGTTTTCATCCGATTCATCCATACAATCAGGAAAATAATCTCCATAGAGTGTCTTATCAATGCACTGTGCATTGGAACAACGATATTCTGTTTGTGGATCGCATTCATGTCTATCAAGCTCAAGGCAATAGTACTCATCCAGACCATTACTACAATCAATTTTACCTTAAATGACGAAAAGAAATTCTTATTTTACTGAATAATCAACGTTCACTAACCATCGCATATCTCACGCCAATCTAGACAAATGATGGAATTACATTCTTCATAATCCATAACATAGCATGTGCCATTCGTCATAGATAAAATATCAGTAGTTNAGTTGATTTTGTTCCACTCTCTTCCCGTAATGGATGAGAAATAAACCACTCTTTCCGTTAGGATGAGTTAATATCCCCAGTAATTATCCCTTCTTTTCGATGAGAAAAAGTAAAAGAAGAGTGGGTCACGGCACCAATATGTTAGAGCTGCTCTCTTTCGTGAGAGCGATGTTTATTCTCTACAAGAAAACACACACACCAGGGTTATATAGCGAGAAAACGAGAGCGATAGAGAGAGAGACACGAGAACAAGGGAGGAGGCGCTAACAATCCTTTTCTTTTATATTCTTACGTATGGAAGGAATTATAACTTTATAAGTTGAAGAATTACTTACATGTATTGTGCGGGTTCGAAGCGAGCAAACGCATGGATTAGATAAGATGAAGAGTGATTTTTGAAAAATTCACTTATCAAAGAAATATGTAGAGCACAAGTGTACAATCCACCAACAGAATTCTGCATAAAAGAGAACAAGTCGTAGTTAAATTTCCGATAATTATTTATATTTTATGTATATAAAGTTACATAATTCGGTATAAAACGAAGAGAAGAATGGTAGACATCGCATCTGAATAGAATCAATCAACTGTATGAAAACTACATGAAGATAATCGTCTGTACTATTATGAGCTGTCAAAGCAACGAAGTAAGAAATGAAAAATGATATTTTCAAGTAATAACGATCGCTCCTTATGTGACAACAAGTGCATCAGCTGCTTCTTATTGTTCTGTTAAAGAAAAAACATTTTTTATACTTTATTAATGATTTTCTATGGGTGTATTTAAAGATTTTTATTCCGTTAAAACGAAAACATTTTGTTCAATAGATAACAAAATAACGTCTACGGAAGTAATTCGCTTTATTTTCGACTGATAGTATGTTGTCGAGCTATGTAATGAGTATATTGAATAACTCATCCTTCTTCATAGCTTATGGTTTATGTGTAATACTAGTTAGTCTTTCGATCCTATTTATCATAGCTCGTGGCATTGAATTTGGTGATGAAAAGATACAAAAAAGGCTCACATCGATACTAAGTGGCTTCGTTTCCTCGATTCTCTTCACTCAACCATTGAAAGTAATACGAGACTTTGTTGTCGATTTTCAATGAATTATACGCCTTTTTTCACGCTGTAGATCGTGGTAATGGCTATCTTCTTTACTTGTTTTTGTCGAAAATCTCAAAAAGATCGCGAAGCAAATGAATTCCTGGATGATGATCAGATTGGTCTAGAAGCAGATGAAGACTATTTTCACAAAACTAAGGTTGATCTTTTAGATATCTTTCAATATTGATAGCGATAGATGATGTTATTTTTAGAAGAAGTCGATGATTACTCGTCCATCTTCGTCAACAGCGTCTGAGAGAAATTCAAATGTGAACAGTCATTCAAGAAATCTTGATGTATTTTCTCAATTCAAGTACGAACTAATTGTAGATGCCGATGATTGATGAATATTGGCAGCGGTTGGAGAATAGCTTTGATGACAATCTTCGTGCATAAAAGTGGTACAACGGTAACCCACGTCGCAATCTCATCTGTTGATGTGTTGAGAAGCTATGAGATAGATACGTGTCAAAGTCCAAGAGTGTCAGACACGAAATTCAGTCTTATCTACATGTCACAATGATTGCCGTTTCCTGAATCGATAAGTTGAATTCTTCGAATTTAATTCAATATGATTTTTCTATTTCATTATGATAATATCCAAGTATGATGACCATGATGATGAAATAGATATATTTCCAAGGCTAATAAATGACAACTAACAATTCGACCTATTCCATAATATTCATCAGGTATCTTGTGTACCGTAGTCTATACTGAATATATGTGTCCAGAATATCAATGAACACTTTGAACATGCTTTTTTTTTCTATTTAAATCAATCTTATCAGTTGTAAAATTAACCTCATTCGATGTTAATGAACTGTTTTCAAATAATAGTAAAAGCACCTGATTAATCTCTAGCAGAAAATATGTAGATAAATAATTGATCAGGTAAAAGTTCATATTGAGTTACATCTGCAACTGCGTCCATATGCGAAGTATTATGTTGGAATAAACCATACCGATGAATTCCGGTGGGCTCAAATAATCTACTAATTACTATAATGTTAATAAATGTGAAAGTTGAATTCGGGTGTAATTGTAACGAAAATATGAATTTGTCTTCTAGTAGGATTTCTAATTAATGGCCAAGATAATGACGATTAGATTTACATTCTCATGTATTATTGTAAAATTTTGTTTGTCAAGCAAATCATTCATAATCACCTTCGAAAGACTTGGAATGGGAGAAATGTGTTTGAACCGAGCGGATCTTAGTGAAGACATAGAGAAATGATATTAATTTCAAGTTTTATCTCTTTTTATTCTTTGCTTTATGTTTCAGAATGTAATAGATTTCCTCATGTACTTTTTCACATCAATAGTCAGGTCTTTCATTGTAAATGAAAGTTTTCATCGATATTTTCGCTCATACGACTGATTGTTTTGTCAATGAAGAGTATCTTCCAAATCCATCGAAGAGTGCGTCATATAATATCTGAATAGATAGATTCATTTAGTTTAATCGTGTCTAACAGCTCAATAGGATATTTTTTTAAATCAACGGGAACACAAATTCTTTCCGAATTGAGAACATCGCACTTATTATTTACTTGACGGTACTTAATACGTTGTTCTTTTATTTGATTCTTCGAAGCATTCAGGTGAGGCGATGAAAGCAGATTTCTACCAACATATGTTATAGTATGTTCGTCAGCTTTCAACATTGTCTTTTGCAAGAAGAATTTTCTCCTGCGGGAAGAAAGATGTTAGATATGCAAACAAAAAAGGCGAAAAAAAAACATGTTTTTATCTTATCTTCATTCTTCGAATAAATGTATGAGTGCGACTTGTGTCTGCTGTTTTTTCCCTTTTCATCACACCATTATGCGTATTCGGAAATGAACCCACAGAATATTCGATAAAGCAAAATATTTTTATATGAATACTATGCAAATGTCCTTTTATGTCAAATGATTTCATTATTAACGCTTAGTTGCACATTTGAAATATGAAGTTATACGATGAATAATATTTATTCATCATTCACTTATATAAAATATAGAAATAAGAAACTTATAGATGCATTTGACTACCTATTGAAATCCGAGTACTTCGAACTATGTTTCTATTCATATTCTATACCAGTGATATGACACAGAAATGTCGTGGAATACTTGCTCTACTTATCTTTCTCATTCTTATTACAATTTGTAAAACTCAGCAGTTATCAACAATGAGAAGTGATTTTGATACAATTAGTTCACGTTTGATCGGTAATCGCTATCTAACGATATCAGCCCAAAATGATTATTCTTTTTTTCGTGTTGTATTCGCTCCATATGGTCCTGAAAATACGTGTTTTTATTCCTATCGATCTACACAAGATTTTGTTCTAAGTATTGCTATTGGTCAAAATCAAACATATTTTGTTTACATACGTACAAATGACAATGATACAACAACTTTCGAAATCGGTGTATCTTATATAAACAAAACAAATTGTTTACAAACTCGAGGAAATACTGAAGAATTTCCTGTAACACCAGTTACATTTCCTTCTTATGTAGCTGATAACATAGTCTTGAAAGTTGATCCAGCCGGTGAATATGCATATGTCTTTTTAAGAGAAAATATATTTATATATGATATTCATAATGGAACTTTAATCAATATACCATGGAGTGATGTTTTACCTAATGTAACTCGTTTCTTCCCGAAAGATGCTGATATCACTGTAACTAAAGATGGTATGTCTTTATGTGTATTAGCTAGTTATTATCCCATATCAACAGCATTACGAGTACCGATTGTTTATCTACTTCATCTTGAACCTCCATCGAAAATAACTGTCCTAGATCAATTAATACTCATCAATGATAGTTTTGCTAGTTTCTATTTTACTTATGGATATTTTTATGATTATATTATGTCAATATCAATTGAACATCAAACTCAACAAATTCTCGTTGCATTACCGTTTTTTCATCGAACATTTCGATTGAAATTTAACACTACAAATTTAATATTAATCGATTCAATTTCATCACAAGCAAGATCAGTTGGATGGATTGATAATGGAACACAAGCTATTTTATTAATAAACAGTATTCCGACATTACCATGGGCATCATCACAACTTCAAATTATTGATACAACAACGATGAACGTACAAAGTGCTATTCCTAATAATCAACAAAGTATTCCAGTTCAATCTGGTCAAAAAATAATGAGTTTTAATCGTTTAATTGTTATTCAAGGTGAACCAATTATTTTCACCGCTGATGGACTTGTTCTCTATGTTCCAGCATCACCAATTGATCATTATATTGAAGTCACTCAAATAACAGAAACTATATCTCAAATAAAATCATGTCCATCGGGAACTTGGAAGAATCGTATTGGTCCGTATTTATGTACAGTTTGTCCAACAGGATTTAAAAAAATGCTTTCAAATGATTCTTTATCTGAATGTCAACCTTGTTTATCTACATCATATTGTCCACTTGCATCAGTAAATGATGTTAATCAATCGTATTATCCATCCATCCATCAAGGATATCCTTATCCTAATTCTCCTCCAAGTGATAATTACGATGATATTATTATACAAAATACATTTCAAATAAGTTCATCAAACAGTCATTGTCTTGTTGTTTCTCCATTATTTTGGACTTTACTTGTTTTTGGTATTATTGGAGTCATTCTATGTATCATGGGTATTCTTTATTGGATACCAAATGGTAGAAAACATTTGACATGGCTGAAGAAAATATTTCAACGAACGGATATTGTTGGAGAAGGTGAATTATGGTTTGGTGGTTTAGCGTCATTTGCATTAATGGTCTTAATTGTATTTGGATTTTGGTTTGGATCCGTTTATATAAAACAATATCCCATTGAAAAAGCGGATGGTACATTTTTTACATGTGATTCATCGTTAAAGAATGCAAAATTTTCGTCAACTTTACATTTGTTAGCATTGCTAAAAGCACCGGAGGAAAAAACAATTTTCCAATTATTAGATCAACAAAATTGGACTTTAGTTGTCGATTTTGTTCAAACTGGTTTTACCTGTCAAGATATTCTTGTTCAAGTATTACAATTTCAAAACTAATTCCGTTCTTATTGAATATCTTTTAGGGAAATATCGAATCGTATCAAATTATTCTTCCAGTAGCCAAATGTTTTCTTCAATCGGATAATGCTACACTTACTCTTGTTATTCCATTAACAACTCATCTCATCGATGTACAATTTAATCTAACAGGTTGTTTGAGTTTATTGTTGCGTTCGATTTATTTGTAAAAGTCTTTCTTTAGGAAATTCTTATGTTGGTGCAAGTCGGATATGTGTTTTAGGACCATCGATGGATCATAGTGCAAGTTATTCATCGATTCAACAATTATCATTTTGTGAAATGATTTCAAATGATGATCAAACTATTTCTCAACATACGAGTGTACAACTTGACTTTACAAAAGTTATTAATCGAACGGAAAGTCTTTATGATAATGATCCAGTTGTTTTTAGTGGAATTTGGATTCCTACAGTAACAATTAAATCCTTCAATGATCGAATTGCTTATCAACAACAAGGAGATTATATTCGATATTTATCATCTCAACAAATTCTTTCAATTGATTTTAGTGAAACACAATTTTACATTAGAAATATTCAAGAACCAATAGCAAAATCGGGCGAAATCATTTTTCATAATATTCTTTTTTCAACTGTTTGTATTGAATTATTTGGTTTAGCATATTTATTATTTAAATTGGTTTTATTTCCAGCGGTTCATTGGATTTTCATTAAAATTATGAATCGATATTCAAGTAAAACTTCTTCTAAAACAATATTTTAACATTGTTAAGTTCAGACAACATGTCAAACCAGAGTGATGTTTTTTTTTCTCTAATAAACATTTTTTTTGGCAAAAGTTAATCTCTATTTCCATAGATCTGACATTCAAGCAATTATAATTCTTGATTTATTGTTAAAAAGGATAAAGGTGAAAATTTTAAGATTGGAATCGATAGAACTCGTCGGATTCTACCTGGATCCGGAGTGGGAGCGCACTTCTGAACCAATATATTCTGAAAAATTCAAATCGGGCGCTAAGATATCTTACGTGTCAAATGTAAAGTATTATGTAATGGCGGACCTAAAGATGATCATTTATTCTTTGAGATCCTTAATTCCACCGCTTTTTTGCGAGAACATATGGTTTGTTATGTCGCACTACTTACTGGATGCATTAAAAAGAATAAAAGGTTCAATTTCTTTCAGAATCTTGATAGCGACTATTTCATGATATCAAATACGGTTACATATCGGCTTTCACAAATGTAACGTGGTTATCTTTTGTCCAATCTTTTTGATACTTCTCAAAAGATAGAACATTATGAGTTCGGTTCTTTCATTAAATGGCGCATCGCTGTGCTCTTTAACTATCCCTGAAAACTTCAGTTCATTGGGTATAGTTATTCAAAAATTATGGCAATAATACTGCATAAAACTCGATTACGGAATTGGGACAAAAAATCGAGTGTGAACTGATCACTGTGCATTTTTCTGTGAAAGAACAATTTATTGAGAGGAATCTTCTATAAAAATTTTGTAGTCGACAATTCGGACTACCCAAAGGAAAGAAAAATTAATCAAGTTGACGTGTAGTTTGTATTAGAGACCTGTTTTATCAATGTAACGCAATGAATTCGACGTACTTCTCTAGCTGATCTTGAATGTGGACTTGATTTTATGATTTGAGCATACTTATGTCAAGAAAAGCACGATATACCAATGTGATAAATGAAGAATAAAAAGAAGAAATACTCCGCCTTTTCGGCAACCATCCTAACAGTTTTACGATGATGTCCAAGGACATTTTCGAGGCCTGATTTTTTCCTACAGGTATTTCTAGTTGTAACTCTAGTCAGAAAACTAGCCTTGATCTAGAGTTGTCTCCGCTTACTTAGATAAATGAAGAAATCGGCATAGACGTGCCATCGCGTTACATAAAGTCACCGTAAGAAGAACTTTTTTCAGGCAGAAGCACATGAATTAGATACTTCATGAAAGACTAGTTTTAGGTATCCTGTTTTTTGTCATACATAGTTAGCGCCAACGGATTGTAAAAAAAGATACTCATTTTTTCGTTACACAATGATGTTACAAATTTGGTAGTTTTGGTTGAGCTCGCTGTCAAAAAGTGTACCACATAGAAACGTCGTTCTCTTGCTAACAGCTACTGCTAGTATGCCTTTATCAGTCCGGTATATGTCAAACTGTTTGGATACACGGAGTGGTGTCATAATCGCGTTACACCTGGTATTCATCCAAAAGCAGACAATTCGCTATGTTACCATATGCAGCTGAGTCGGTGTATCCAACACGATACCCAAATAGCAGAGTATCCTGGAAAGCTGAGGAATATGAGTGGATTTGGTGCATTCATCTCGATACTCATGTCTGGGTGTGTTGGGAACCTGACGAATGTGAGTGAATTTCTTGTATGCAGCCGCTACCCACACCCCTCACCCTCAACAGATGCAAGTGGCAATGGGAAAGTATTAAGCAGCCTGCCAGCGGTGTGGCACTCGAAAAGATTTCAGGAGATTGGCGCATTGCTGATAACGCTTATCATCGTTTCGATGCAGATGTAAGCGGAATTGTAGTATGGAGACGATTAATAATCGAAGCGGTGGAAAACTAACCGCAGATTTCACGTTTTTGATTTTATTCTAGAGTCTGAGGAAAAAGAGCATGTCTAATACTGCATTTGTCCATACTCTTGTGACTATTTTATTCTTCGAAATCTATTCAGTGGTTGTCTTTCTTCATTCGTTTATTCTCATGTTCGTCACATGAATCGTTCGCTAATTTAGTTATTTTTTCTATTATTGATTCCAAATTTTCTTGTTTACGAAAATAGTCTGCCATATTTTCCTCGATCTGAGCATATAAATTCATTGCCGCTGTTAAATTGTCTACTGCCAAAGGCACCTGATCCAATGAAGAATAAAGATCAGCCAGTTGAACATGACTGTCTGCTGCGGTCTGTTTTTGGCAATTAACATCACGTAATTTCGATATAGTTGATGCTCTTTTTATATATTCATGGTGCATCAATTGATAGGAAAGAGCTGTTTGATAGTCCAATCGTTCATCACTATGGAAGGAAACCATCTCTTCCACAAGACTCTGCATATCAGCAGGGGAAACATGAGGATTTTGTAGAAAAATACGGAATGCTTTTTCATAATTGGTCGATGCATTATCATATTTACCGATTGATTTATACAAACCCGCTAAATACTCGTGCGTCTGCCCAATTTCAATATAATTTGGCGGATAGAATCTCATCATATACTCAATATATAATTCTTTATATTTTGCAGCCATTGATACCGTTTCGATTTTTTCTGCCGAGTTTTCGTATATACCTTCATTATCGATCACCATCGGTTTCATTTTAAGTTGAAACACAACGCTCAATTGATCATAAATTTTCATCGTTTCATAATCGTTCTGCTCTTTTGCTAAAGCTAATAGAAAGCAGTCCCTGGCTAAATTCAGATATTTTTCAGCTATTTTATCATCATGCATATCATCTGAGTAATATTCACCAATACTGAAATATAATTGTCCGAGTTCAATTGAGCAATTCAAACTGTCATCATCTTGATACTCCTGCCATATTGCA